TTACTAATATTTTGCTTAATTTGCGCTCTAAGCTCCTTAAATTTTACCAAGTGAAATTCTGTTTTGATTGTTTATACGTCTTCCATGTATTATTTTTAAGTTTAATAAGCTTAATTATATCTGAACCATACCACGGAGGATAATTTCTTTTACGTTTGGACGTTTTAGGTACAAACAAATCCAACCCATTATAGATCACCCCATAAAATCGTTCGCAAGCAGCATCCACGTCAGAGATTTCATCCAAGAAATCCCAATTACACTCAGCAAAATAGCCATAAAGATCAGGAAAATTGGTTCTTCGAAAATTATAATATGTGTTATCAAATTTCTGAGCATTGGGCTTTCTGGACTGACCGGCTTCCAAAGAAACGATAAGAGCCGGATGGTGGTCGTCTTCAGTCAACAAAATGTCTTGGGCTTTGTTTACTGTGCACTTTAAAGATGGATCTGCAAAAACCAGATCGAGAAATCTGTTATTATAATTAGCTACAGCGTTATATTGAATTAGGTTAAAGAAACTAGCAAAATCCATCAATGAAGAATGTTTCTCGTTAGAATTAGATTGATAAACAAAATCAGGTAAATTAAAATCTCCAATAAATAAAATATCAGAATTGTAGAGTGCTTCATATCCGTACATTGTTTCAAAAAGTTGAGTATAATCTGAAATTTTTGCATTAGGTGGAATATATAAAAAACACAAAATATAGAGTAGTTTGACGTACATTTTAAGGCTAAGACGTCAATATTTATTGGAAGTTCGGATAAAACAATGCAGTTATGCAGTGAACAGGTGAACAAGAAGGAAGCATTTTGAGCATTATTAATATTTGTCACATAATTATACGTTTATATCTAGTTTTAATTCTGTAATAATTAAAATATGTTTCAAAAGTGTCCCTTTTTATTAACATTGAATACTACTCTACATCTTTTAATTTTTGTTAAATTACCGAAAGTTATCTCACAGCCACCCTGAGTTTATCAAATAATAAAAATCCGACTGAATAATCATAAAAATGAAAATATATGTAGGTATAGTAAAATCTTTGTCTAAGGGGTAGGCAACTTTAATAGTATTTTGAATAGAATTCTTCATTGTATATCGGAATAATATACTGGGTGTTCTATTTAAAATTAAGGAGCAACTTACTTTTAAAAGTGACCACTATTCAAGATTAATTTTGTCTCACTCTGCATAACGTTTTGGATCAAATTTTACTTTGGTATAACATGCAATGGTTATTTTAACTAACTAAATATCAGGCTACACAGGGTAAATTAAAATTTAGCAACTGTTATTGAAATTTAAAGTGTATTCTTTATTTTCACAGAATGTGAAATATGTTAAGAACCTTACATTTTAGTCATATGCTTTAATGAAAGTCACTTTTAGTTTTTAGAGTATCCTCCTAGAATCTGAAATTCAATTTTAATATACCGGGTGCGTCTCTTCTATAACTTTTTTTTTATTTTTTCAGATAAAAAATAAGATTTGGTATGTTCGTATATGACATAAATTAGGATTTATTTATTAGGACTGATCTTTGAATAAGAAGACTATGGAAGGAGCATAATGCTATCCATGTATTCATGCAGGGTGGGCGGAAAAAGCGCCATAAAAGCACTCTAGGGTGGGGATCCTTGACAGTTCTGTTTGACGATTCATTTGACACATTTGAATTTGATTTGAAATTTTGTGGATTTGTGAGTCTTTACGGAGCTTATTTTATGTTATTTATTCTACTACTGATAGTTATATAAAGGTAGTAAATCTAGATGGAAATTGTGGCAGAACTTAAATTAACAATGACACTATCGCGATTTATCGAAAAAGATTCTAAAATAGTTGGTTGTGTAGCGTGCGGTAGATCTCGGCAAAAATTGAGTGAAATAATGGAACAACTTTTCGCTAGTAAGTGACTATATAATATACATACGTGTAGTAAACCGATCATTTATGAAATTCACTTAAATTAACTAAATTATATATTTTTCTTGCATTTTAGCTTTTATTTATTACTTGTCAAAGATTAGATGTCAAAGAATTTAAATACGTTAATTTGACTTACCTGCTTCAGTAGCGTATCGAATGTTTGTGTTAATAAATACTTATTATAACTTATCTATTTTTATTAGAATTATATATTTTTATAACAATTTTAATAATAACATTTATTCACAACGTAACATAAAACAACAAATTATTGAGTACCCCACGTCTACCCTACATCATAGTTTTACATTTTTTAAATAAAATTAGAACGACACTGATAAACCGGAATTTAAGTCGGCCATATTTGAGGCCCATCGCGGTGTACCTAAGATTTTTGATATGCTCCTTCCTTAGTCTTCTTATTCAAAGGGACTGATTGACGTATTCAATTGTTTTCGGTCACTTTTTTTACTTTATTCGATAGAAAAGGACACTCTGAATAGAAAGATGTATCATATGTCAAAGTTTGACATATTTGCTTTAAAAAACATCGTATTTGAAATTTCAATCTAGAGTGCCATGGCTGTGTTAAAAACTAATTTTTAATCAAGGAGGTTTGGAAAAATGGATTTGATCGTTTAATGTTTTTAGTGTTTTATCCTGACCCGTTTAGGCATGTTCGGTCCTGAGATTTCAGAACCGGTATCCGGTACCACAAAGTATCGGTCCTAAACCGGTATACCGGTTGGACCGGAAGACCGATTGGGACCGGAAGACTGGTTGGACCGGAAGACCGGTTGTGACTAGATGACCGGTTGGTACCGGAAGACCGGATGAACAGGTAAGTACAGGTGTCGTGAGAATGCGCCATAACTTTAGATTTTCATTGTTTATGTTCACATTTCAGACATATTCTTGATTTCTTGTCCAACATTCTCGTTACTTATGAATAATGGAAAAATTACTGGAAGCTGCTGTTCTTTTAGATATAAATGGAGCGGAAATAAGACTCTAAGAGTTTAAGATTTACTTGAGTTAAAGCTTTACTTGAATTTTAGATGTACTAAAAAAGAAAACTAAATTACTAGACCAAAGTAGACTAGCGCATGCCTTAAACGATTACAACCGATTTAAACCGGTATACCGGTCTTGAAAAAGTCCATACCCGTACCGGAATATTTCAAAAGTACCGGTCCTGGTACCGGTATACCGGAAGACCAAACATGCCTAGGCCGGTTAAAATATGCCCAAATCGTATATTTAATCATATTATAATTTTTTCAAATGGAACAAGAATGGCTCATTACCATATTTGAGAGCATTATTTTACGAATAATTTGGTACCACACACTTGGTATTTCGAGTCAAATTGTCGTTATGAACCGCAATGTTACAATTTCAAATAAACCATATGCGAACATGTCAAAAGTGGGCATATGATATGTTATTCCTATTCAGATTATACATTTCATTTCAATATAGACAACCGAAGATATAGACAACAGTTCAATATAGACAACAGAAAAAGTGTGAAGGGGTCGCAATGTATTGAATTAATTTATTAGTCGTTTACTCTGTATTTAATTAATTATTTGAAACAATATTATTATAATATAGGTACATAGTACAAGCAGGATCTTCGTTAAAGGAATTAATGAAATAATTAATTTACTTAAATAAAAATTTGATGCATTTCCTACGCACGTCTATGTTTTAAATCGTCGCGTTTGTCATTTTTTCCGCAATTTTAGAGCTTTTAGGTGGGGAATAATGCCCAAGCCCCAATTTTATGAGGCCGATGAGGCCCTTTTCGCTCGAATGTCTCTTAGTGTTTGTTTGTACACAAACTAAAAAGGACAATCGGGGGGACGATTCCTAAATTATTACACTTTACGATTTTTATATATCGGATGGCGGAAGATATCGTCGCACAGACCGCCATTTCATTGCCTGTTGTCGTAGAAGATATTAGATATATGGATTTATTAAAACACCCCGTTTCCATAATTTAAAGTCCCACTCTGATTATATTCATCGCAACAATATTGATCCGAGCTAATTAACATTGAATAAGGAAAATCGAGCCAGTTGGAAGATTCTAATATATAATACCCAGGTCAGCAATTTAAATATATTATTTGTAACTTTTTTATTGTGAATTTAAAATCTCAGTATGTGATCTAATAATATGCATAATATAAATGTAGTTATTATAAATAAATCAACTTCTACAAACTACCTTCTAAAGCTATACATGTTCGAAAGGGTTACCACCCCCCCCCCCCTATTGCACAAATTTATTTTTTGTTAAATTTTATTTATAGCTCATTGAACTTTCTTCTTATACTTTCAAATGCATTTTGTACTCTTTAAGTATTCTAAATTTTGAGATTTACTGATTTCACTTTTACAAATGACGTATTTGCTTTAAAGAACGTCAAGTAATTAGTAAGGGGTTATTTCTGCTATAACGAAATTTTTTAAAGGTACATAATTATAATTTTAGAAGATGTTCATAAAAGATTTAATCAATCACGAGTTGATTAAAAAAAAGTATAACATATTGCAAATTATATTTTATCCTCTCATAGTATATGCCTATTTAATTCTTTGATTTTGTAATGGGCATTTTGTTTACTCACTTATTTCGTCGAGCTGCTTGAATTCATTTTTGCTTTTAATCAAATCGGTGTAAGAAGCAGCTCACAATAGAACTCAATGGAGAAGAATTGTTAACTCAGTTAACAGCGACAACCAAAAAGTAAAGAGGCAACAAAGCAATGCGATTTTTGAATGTCCGGAGTGCGATAGGCAGATAACATCACGTATCGGGCTTTTCAGTCTCAGAAAAGCTCATGAAAGAAAACGCCTTGCGTGACCATCTTCTGATGCGTGTCGAATACTCGTCAGCGAGTAATGGCAGTATGTAGTATGTATATGTGAAAAGTTAGTAGTAGTTGTAATTTTTTTTTATTTATTTGCTGAGCCCCAGCCTCCTGCCCTCTGCATCCGCCACTGTTCCCACTTTATACACTTTTTCATATTTTTTTTTCTTTTTCAGGACTACGTCACCAAGTACCAGAACCGCAAATTGAGCGAACTCGAACCCCATGTGTTCGCTCTGGCAGAGGCATCTTATGCCTCTTTACAAACGGGAGCAGCAGACCGAACACAGAAAAACCAGAGTTTGGTCATTAGCGGCGAGAGCGGGGCGGGCAAGACAGAGAGCACAAAATTTATTTTGCAATATTTGTGCTCGGTAACCAGTGGCGTATCTGCGTGGGTCGAACAACAGATTTTGGAGGCGAACACTATCTTGGAGGCTTTTGGTGAGTGGTAAGAGTTTAACATTAGCATAGCAGTACTAAAAATCAAAATACTTGATGTTATTTCTTTATTTATTATTATAATAAATTCTGAATAGTCAAATTGACCTTTTTAATATTGAATGATAATGAACGAAGACTATTATGGAATGTAAAGGTGCGTACAGACCTGACGAGACGACCGCGAAGCTAGCGCGATACTGCTTCCATCCATTTTTTAATGGTGCGTCCAGACCTGAGGAGTCGAGTGCGAGACGAGCGCGAGACATTCCAAATTTGCGGTGTTTTTCAAAGGATGGACGGGTCTCGCAAGAGCCTCGCGACCGGCTCGCGATACAACCCACGGAGCCTCGTTGCTATCCGTCCCCTCTCAGTTTTCTGAACGTGTTTTTGGTAGGCTCGCTCGACTGCGAGATATTAGCTATGATATTAGTGCATATTGAAATGGAGACGGAAAAAGATCAGCTGAAATTCAACGATTTATGCAAAACCAATATTATGGAATCCAAAAGATAAAGAATATTAAAAAGAACAATAAACACGATGCGTGGGTAGATATTTCACAATCGATGAATAAAACCTTGGGAAGAATATAGAAGAGAATTATTAAAAAGTGTTTAAGAATCATTAAAAAAATAGAAAAACTGTAGAGAAAGTTAAGATACACATATTAAAATTATTATAGAGTATACAGGGTGGTTCAAAATAGTGTTACGGATATAACATGGTTTTTTAAATGTAATACCCTATCTTTTATTTTATTTTTAGATTCTGCGTAAAATTTTATAACTTTTTTTATGTATAATGCCAGGTATAATGTTATATACCTAAAACGGTATACCCCTAAAACTAATAGTTTTTGTAAAGCCATACGCACACTGGTGCGATCACGGCCGCGATCACGATCTCCACGCGGCCGCGGCCAAAAGTTGCTGAAGAATACATAACATATATTAGTATATTATATATAATGTGAAACGGCTCATATTATGAGCCGTTTCACATTGGCGCGATCGAGTTTTTGAGACGAAGCGGCCTGGCGCACAGTGTAACGAAAACTAAAATAGTGAGACATTGGCATTTTTCTTCAGTTATCACTATTCTTGCTGACATTTTTTGACAGAAATTAAATAATTTGACTAGGAATTTTTGCTACAGGGCGAAAAGAGTAAAAAAAAGGCGTAATGAAAAGTCACAAAAAAATACGAAGTTTTATAAAAGGACTTTACAGGTATATTTTTTTATTTACGAAGAGTTTATAGCTCTTATGGACCAAAAACGTTATCAAATTACTGTCGAACAATCATTTATCTCCCGCTAATATGTCAAAACTCAATCAACATTCCTAAATATTCAAATAATCAGGGATAAATTAGATAAGACTGCAAAACTCAAAGAGAACGACACAAGTGGCTAATATCTTTTAACAGTATTAAATATGATAATATGCGAAAAAAAAACGTATTCAACTTCAACAAAGGAAACCATAATACACACCTCACAAAAAATTTCGCAACACTTATATTTTTCGTAGTAGGTATTTATTCTTGAAACGCTTCAAACATTTTTATGTGAAAAACTTAAATCTAAGTTCTGCCTGAGTTATGATATACTTTCCATTCCTTAACAAGTTACTATTAATGCAAATAACTTTTGAGATTATTGTTAACCAAGAGAATTTAAGAATACTTTGCAGTTTTCCAAATTAATAAGTGATGCGATAATTTATGTGGGGTGTATATTATTCCAAAATAACATAATATGTAAGGCACTTACATAAAACATGCTTAAAAATAATTCTCAATTTCTTCTCCATCCATATACAAGTGAAGAGCTCTTTCGCTTCCGGAAACAAGTCTACTTTTTTATTTTTAGAGTGCTTTGGTCGCAGATGTGAAAGTAGAGGATCTGAATATATCAATAAGTTGTGCAATATATCTTCAATAGTTTGGCACCAACAAGGATGCAGCATTGATGGTGGAATGTTAAATACATCGAAGAAAATTTTGCCGGTTTGAAAAAATATTCTCTTGGGTAATTTTTCTCCAATGTTGAGATTTTCTGAATTGTTGTAAACTGTCCCTCACCCCAATGTGAGGATGGTTCCTCGCCCCTAAAATAGCAATCAGTATGTTCATAGCAAGCGTATAGCTTTTTCAATAAAGGAATTATATTATAGCACAAAAAATTACGGATAAAAACTACGGTCGAATCAACGGAAAACGTAATTATTGCCGAAGAAATTTATTTTTTTCTTCCAGGTTCGGATCTAGGTGGATGAAATTTATATGTAGCAGTATACTAGAAGGTTCACTCTATGATATTCTGTATATATAACCTTGCGCGAATGTAAGCGTTTTTTTGAAAGTGATAATAAACATGTAGAAACTAGACTTGAATAAAATTGGGACATTTTTTTCAGGTTTGTTGTTGGTAAGAGACCTCTCCTTACGGAAAAAATTGTTGGAATTGAACAACACATAGAAACTTCTGAAAATAATAAATTTCATTGTATGAAATTTTTGTACAGATTTGGTAAATTAAGGAAACCAGAACTTTAACCCGCCATAACTCCCCGACTAAGAGGTCAACTCAAAAAATATCTCACATGGTGGAGCTCTGGGATGTCCTTTATCCATCTATATAAAAAACTTGATGAATTAAAGTTTTTGTTTTTTGGGCTAATGTCCTGCATTTCCCAATTTCGTTACACTGTGTGGCGGCGCCGGCCGCGGCGTTCTGTTCTGCGGTGGCGATCAGATTCAACTTGTTGAGTTGATCGCGTGATCGCGACCCAACTAATACGATTTTTCCGTTATTTTGTGCGTTTTTTCTTGTTGCAATTTAGAAATGGAGTTAACAGAGCAGCTAATTAAGGCTGTAAAAATATACAAAATTCTATATGATTTATCCGATCCAAGTTACAAAAATAATAAAATTAAATATTAAAAGTTTGAGACAAAATTGGAGTTGTAATTGGATTGGATAGTACATATGTATATATTTTTATTATTTAAGTTTAAATATTTTAGGTAAATATTTAAGAATGTTTTTTTTCGGTATACATAATTAACATTTTTAATTTGTACCTATGTATACCTACAGGATACCTCACTACATATAGGTACGGCGGTGAACGTGAACGCGTTGGTGTGTGCTAGAATGATCGCTCATGTTATCGCTGCCCTGATTGTGATCGTGATCGCGGCCGTGATCGCACCAGTGTGCGTGTAGCTTAATTTTTTTCGGTATACATAATTAACATTTCTCATTTGTACCTATGTATACCTACAGGATACCTCACTACATATAGGTACGGCGGTGAACGTGAACGCGTTGGTGTGTGCTAGAATGATCGCTCATGTTATCGCTGCCCTGATCGTGATCGTGATCGCGGCCGTGATCACACCAGTGCCAGTGTGCGTGTAGCTTAATATTTCAATTTGATTAAACAAAAAATGTTAGATTTCAGTGTCGTAAAAGATTGTCAGTCATGCTATTGTTTCTGCAATTGGAGTTTTAAAATTTGTTAGGATAGTTTTCTGGGACGAAGAAAAAGATATAGGTAAAGATATTTGAATTACATGCTACAGTGTGTTCAACATATATTTATGAATTTCGACTATTTAAAATTAAATAATCTCAAATTTTTTTAATGGAACATGTATGTATTATCATTTTTTTAATATAATTTACAAATTTTGCATCACTGACACTTTTTACCATACCGAAATCTAACATTTTAAACAAATTGAATTATTACAAAATCTATTATTTTAGATATAGAGCATAAAGTAACTAAAATAAAAGAGTGTTTGAAAGGTTGTCTAACTTGGCCATAATGTTGCATAGTTCAGTTAGGGCTCCAAAGCGTCGCCACCTGCTACCTGTCACGTGTCATTACAAGAATGACAAGTGACATGACAGCAAATTATTTGTATTTTGCAATTGTTTACAATTTTGTTTTGAATTTTGGAATTTTGTTATTATTTTGTGTAGCATAAACTTTGTTTGTTTTGTGTTTGTGCGTACAGAAATTATGGACGAAGTTTTATTTCCCGAGGAACCAGAGACCTTATATTTCTCTATGATTTGAACTTTATATTTTGTGCTGTGTTTTGCCATCATCATGTAATATTTTGTTCAGCCGATGATGTGATTTGAACACGATCCAGGAAAGGGTATCATGCAAAGCAAGTTCGATATGTAAAGACATTGCCCATCTCTGAACTCTGTGAACGTAAAACGAACTGACTATAAATTTGCGCCTTCATTTAATAGTGTTGAACATTTGCTACCTCAACTGAACTTCAACTGCTGACTGCTGAGTTTATAAATTCAACTTAAAGGTGAATTAATTTTTGATGTCTTATTTAAATCTTTATCTGTTATAATAGCATAGATTGCAAACCCTGCGATCTTATATGCTTTGTTAGTGGCGTTGTTAAATACGTTTTATAATACTATAGGTAAATCGAAGGGTAAACCGCTGGTGTATTTTGGTGGTGTACAAGATTTGCATTATTGGTATTAGTACTAAATTATTTGGCATTACTTTGGCATTAGTGTACAGAAATTCATCAGGAGTTTACCCCTCGAAGTTAATTCAGCATATATGTTTTATATTATCAAATTTAATTTAGCATTTAACTGTAAGCATTTGAAAAGTGTACAATAGTTTATACTTTTCAAATATTCCGTTTTTAAAAATAAACTTTCATTATATTTTTTGCAGTTTAATTTCGTAATATTTTTAAAAATACATAAAATTTTATATTCACATTTAAACAGCCCGCCTTTTTTGTGGTAGGCAATGCAGATACCTATTTTACCGATAACGTCTGTCATATTTCAATTAGTTCAGTTAGGGCTCAAGGGTGCGCTACAATCGATCCTCGTTAAACGTGTTGCCTACTTTTGACTATGGAAATGACAACTCTTTTATGTTATATTTCTCTATGATATAGAGGTAATATGATATGCAATAAAAAAATTCCGAATTGTAAAACTTGGAAAATAAGTTTGTTATAATAATGCTTTTATTTATTCACTATTCTAATAAAAAATATGCTTTCCTTCAGAAACTCTCTATTTTTTTATCTAGTAATGCTATAAACACTCTATATGAAAGTCGATTAGAGAAAATAGTATGATTCATTGGCAAGCGATGTAAATATTTGTGATCAGGTAAAATTGTGATGTAAGAGGAGGCTTAGCTTGCACGGGCGCGGCAGGTCAGTCAGTTGTTGATAGGCCGGCCGGCTGTGTAGTGTTGTGTTTTGTCACAGAGCTGACAAATGGAGGTTGCGAATCTTTTGACTAATATAGTTGCAAGTCGTTTGACTGTAAGCCAACGGGGTCGTTTGACCACGGTAAGAAAACCTCTTGTGACATCCTGCCTTCGAGTTGGTCTTGAGAGTTTGAGGTCTCCATAATGTCTTCTCGATTGACGATGCGACGTTGGGATAGTGAGCTACCCAATAGCCTATTCGATTGGGATGCGAATCTGTTTAGCGGCAGAGTTGCGTCCGGGGGAAGCCCCTATACTATTTCAGGTGACACTAGCTAGTTGTTGAAGATTATTAACCAATAGATCCGAATAATATTTAATTAGATGGAAGATATGGAATGTGATATATTGAATAGAATATCAGTGATGTCAGTGGCTAGGGGGCGGAGTACCCCCGGGTGAGTCTTACTATTTAACTATCAATTTTATCCAGATCAGTAAATGTTTGTTTTGTTATTTTCATGTACAATGAGAGAGTGCTTGCCAATGACCAACTAAATGGATATTTGAGGTGAATTTGCATTGAGACCCGGTTGAGTAAGCCCCAAAAATAACGATTTTACAGAATTGTACGTAGAATATAATAATAAAATAAAAAATAGGGTATTCCCATTCAAACATACAAACATAAAATCCGTAACACTGTTTGAAGTACCCTGTATACTCTACAGTAATTTTCAAATGTGCTTCTTAACCTTTCCTATAACTTTTTCTATCTAACATTTTGTCCTAAAAAACGAATTTTGTAAAAGATGTCATGTCTCGAAATAAATAAAGGGGAAAAAATCGATGATGAATAAAATACGACAAACCAAATATAAATATCATGTTAAAGATACAAAAATTTATTACTTATGCGTTATTATTTGCTGCAGGTTTTTCATCGGACATGTTTACACAAACCGGTCACCTATCACTACGATCCAGCTCGCTTGTCTCGTGGCAGGCTTGCGTCAAAAAATGGATAGAAAATGTTCGACTGTTATATTGGGAGAGATTAACTCACATCACATAGGAACAAATGAAACCTTAAATGTTGTGTGAGGTGTTTTCAATACATGGTTGCTTGCGTAAGGTGCGAGATCTGTGATTTTTTTTATATTTGGCAGTTAATGAAGCACTTTCCTTCGCGGTATTATGTCCATTTTAGATAATCGACAACTTTCTTTAGATTTGTGTGTCTAGTTATTTTGAAAACTCTGTTACTGTATATTGATTGAAATCCCTGTAATTTGTAATTATTTCAAGACCTTTTTGGACTATAAATATATAAGATTTCCTTTACTTTTCAGATCTCAGTTTTCATTCCCAAAAAAACAGCGTCGTGCAGTGGGTGTTAGTAATGTGCCATATAAAATCTGTATCCGTTAAAATCATTAAAAGTTCGTAGACCTTTGAATAGTAATTACATACTACGAAATACAGCTTGAGAATTGCGACACCTTTATAAAAACGTACCGATTTATTTGTTTCGGTTATACAGGGTGTCCCACAATTAGTGCGACAAACTGAAAGGGGTTGTAGAGGGCATCAAAACAAGTAATTTGAGTATAGGAACATAGGAACCCATATCCGGAAATGTGCCGTTTTGGCAGGAGGTGGAGTGAAACGTAAATTTCAAGTTACATTATTTATTCATAACATTAAGTAATGACGTCCAGGCGTGTGCATTTGTGTCTTCAACAGAATGGACGGCACTTTGAACAGTTGTTGTTTTTGTCTGTATAGTAACGTTCATAAGTTTTTTAGTCGTATTTATCAAATAGCAAATTTCAAAACAAATGTCATTCGATGCTTCATATAAGGGTAAAATTCGTGTCACTCTGAATATAGCTTATCGGTTTATGCACTGAAAAAACTAAGGAAAGAGCGATATATATTTTTTTGTTCATAAAGGCGTTCTTGACTTTTCTGTTGAAATTGAATTTCGAATTTATGGTAATTTAAATTACAGGAGTTGTGCTTTATTTTATTGTGTTTATTTTTAATTATTTCTTGCTTCTTGTTTATAATTGGTTTTATGCAAAGTGTCTAAATCTGGAAATGCATTATGTGAGGACTACACTACAGTAATATTATTGTGTATCTTACAAAAAGACTTAAAATATACCGGGTGCGTCTCAGAAGTGGCTCACCCCTATAACTTTTTTATTTTTTTTTAGGTAAAAAAACGAGATTTGGTACTTTAATATATAACATAAATTAGGATTGATTGACGTATTCAGTTGTCTTTGGTTACTTCCTGTTTTACCGGAAATGACTACAACTTTTGATTTTTAAATGACACTCTCGGTGTTTTTATTCGTCAACTTTTGACATATGGTTTATTTGAAATTGTAACATGCGGTTCATAACGACAATTTGACTCGAAATACCAAGTGTGCGGTACCAAATTATTCGTAAAAAATGCTTTTTCCAAATATGCTAATGAGTCACCCTTGTTCCATTTAAAAAATTGAGAAAGGAATAAAAATACGATTTGGGCATTTTTCCGGCCAGGACAAGACACGAAAAACATTAGACGATCAAATCTATTTTTCAAGGCTTCTTGATTAAAAATTAGTGTTTTTAACACATCCATAGTGCCATAATCCATGGCACTCTAGATTGAATTTTAAAATACGGTTTTTTTAAGCGGAAATGTGAAAAATTGACATACGATATGTCACTCTATTCAGAGTGTGTCTATTTAGTGTTATTTTCTATCGAATAAAGTATTATGATATACCAAGGGTGCCATTTAAAAATCAAAAGTTGTAGCCATTCCCGGTGAAACAGGAAATGACCAAAAACAACTCAATTCGTCAATCAATGCTAATTTATGTCATATGCTAACATACCAAATATCGTTTTTTATCTGATAAAATAATAAAGTTCTAGGAGTGAGCCACTTTTGAGACGCACCCGGTATATAGAATGTTTAGGAGGGGAGTTAATCACCGCGACCTTACAGATCTATTGTGTGTTCCCTTTTCTTGAGTTATAACGAGTTATAACTCAACATACAGTCTCAGGGCTTTAACAAAAGCCAGTATCTGACGGCTCCACAGAGGCCAGCTGGCACGAAAGGTCTTCGTCTCCGCGCACTCAGTGATAAGGTATACGCACCCGGTATAGGTGGTACATTAAAAAAGTTCGCCCTAAAACTCCATTAAAAAAATACAAGACTTGCATTTGCTCCTCACTAACACTGATAAACCCGAATTCAAAAAACAGTCATATTAAGTCTCCGTCGCGAGCTTGTCAATTTTGTTGATATATTCCATCCTTTGGCCCCAGTTTAAAAATTATAAAATAAATATTGAACAATAAAGTATTTTATTTGAATATTTCAACTATATAATTTATTATTAAATACGGTTTATGTTTTCTTTCAGGTAATGCTAAAACTGTCAAAAACGACAACTCCAGCCGGTTCGGAAAATTTATGCAGGTGTGTTTTGACTCCCGATGGATGATAGCTGGGTGTATTGTCCAGGACTATCTCTTAGAGCAATCCAGGATCACATTTCAGGGATCGGGGGAAAGAAATTATCATGTGTTTTATCAGCTAGTCGAGGAAGCAAAGGTATGAAACGACAGTTTACCGATTTGGTCATTTTAATTCTTTTTAGTTTTCAAGTGTGGTCTGGATTTTAAAGTGTAAGACAGTTATGTAGGCAGCTTAATGGAAAATCACATATATTAAAAAGAGATAAAAGTTGGGTTGATACGTTTCTTCTATGCGGTATTGCTGGATTTTGCATCAAAAGTTCAAACGGCACAAAAATATGCGTTTGTGGAAAATGTTGCATCTAGGGTTGGAACCTTATTTTTCACAATTTTACTTATTACTGTAACTCATTTTAATAAGATTTAATAGATTATATTTAGCGTAGATATATTATCTTCATTTCCGTAATATACATGAAAGTTTTTAAAATAGTTTTTTTTCTACACAAATTTGCCTACAAACGTAAAAACACTTTTTTTTTGTTTGCCGTTTTTGATTTTGTCTCTCTGTCTGTCAATGGGTCATTTATATTATTCTCTGTCTTACACGTTAAAATCTAGACCACACTTCTAAAATGACCAAATCGGTATACCGTATAATCGAAAAAAAAAGCGGCGTTAAGTTGACTTAGAAATGACAATCAATGACATTTTCTATATAATTTTACTTACTTACTATCGTCATTTCCAAGCTTTTTCGGAAGGTTTTTTTCGATCCTATGGCACTTGTTTGGACCATTTAAAAACACATTTTTAATTACCAAACAATACAATTAACCACTGTAGAGACTATGTAATTAAAACTATGTAATTAAGTCACAAACAAATGCATACTAAACAAAACAAAGACACTAAATCACCACAATACACCAAAACACTTTGACTTTTACACTGGACGTGCGTTTCGCTAACCATGCTAGCATCATCATTAGTGTTTTTACTTTGCTGTGTAACACCAAAGGTTCCAACCCTCAACTGTAATAAATGCATACTACAATACAAATATTTCCAATTTAGTTTTATTTTATAATTTTTCACAACAGTCTCTCCAACGAATCAGGAAAGATTTCGACAAACGACATCCTAAAATTGACAGAATATACAGTTTAGTTAGAGAAAAAAGATGATTATTTAAGTTCAAAATAAAAGTAGATTTGACAAGAATTTAAGAGAAGAATACATATAATGTATGTTAAATATATTTTTTATTATTATTTATTAATATTTTGTTTCATAAACAAGATGATTATATTCAGTTCAAAATAAAAAAAATATATATTATGTACAAACTCATAAAAAGACAATAAATATTTTTTTATTTAAAAAATTCAATTGGAAAATTGGTTATTTATAATACTAAACCAATTCCAAATATTAAAGTGAACGCTGTTTGCAATACAATATCTGATATAATTACAAAAAATATGCGAATATTCGTATACAAGTACAACTCCGTTAGATACAGTATGTTCGAAAAATATCGTCCATGTATGAAAAAAATATATCAAACAGCTTATTTTTCTTTCAGCACAACAAAGAACTCTCAGCACAGCTCCACCTTAAAGAAGCCAACTTTTACAACTACCTCAACCAATCCAGATCTATCAAATTAGATGCGGATGCCAGAAGACTGGACAGTTTGAGGTTAGCGTTCCAAGTGTTGCAAGTCCCGCCCAACATGTGCAGCGGTATATTTCAAACTCTAGCTGCCATCCTATGGCTGGGTAACTTGACGTTTGAAGACATTGACGGTGAGAGATGCCAACTGACGAAAGAAGATGAGAATATAGTTGATATATTGTCAAGGTTGCTGGGTTTGGACGCAGAAAACTTAAAGCAAGTCGTGTTGTTGAGGCAGATCAATGTTAGAGGGAATATAACGGAAATTCCACTAACTAGACAACAGGTAAAATTTCAAAGTTAAAGCGTTGATTGAAGTAATTGAGAAGATACGCAACCTAATGGACGAATTCATGACAAGGCTGATTTGATTTCCCTTTACGTCTCAAGTGCTGTACACCAATTGGTGGAGACACCAATCATTCTGAGGCCAACGCATAAAACACATATTTTTCTCTAAATTAGCCAGCGAATGCATATCGAAGACGGTGTAGAACTGAAAGTGACAGCATTGCCATATTAAAATGTGTAATATCTGTAATACTTTTGACGAAAATATCTTTGGATGGAAAATCCGCGTTTATGTATTGGAAATGTATTCGTGTTAATCATATAATAAACAACAAAAAAAAAATTCTTTTATAGGTACTGAATATGTCGTATGATTGAAAAAAGTCGTTTAGTTGTCTTGGAAATGACGATTTTTGACATTTACCATAATATTTTACATATGAGATAACAGCGATCTTCATTTCCAAGCCAACTCTGACGCCGTTCTTTGTTTAATCATATAATATTATATTAAATTGTTTAATGATAGAAAATCCGTATTATTAACGTACTGTACCCAAAATCCGTAAATCTACGGATTTTCTGTTGTTCTAGCAACACAGTCTCCGGCAGCCACTCGCTGAACTGTCGATTGAAAACAGAACTACGGTACAGTATTCTTTATCCGCTGCGCTGTAAACGACTATCAGCGCGCAGCGGCTCAGAGCTAAACTAAATCTCGGACAGGCTGACAGTAACGCCAGCTATGTAATGCCACAAAATCGCCCGTAAGGTTACCCATCTTCTTATTTCTTCAATCGACGGTTAAAGCCAATAAATGTGAGCATGCGGTATTTGTTTAGTAACATTCCGGTGAATTTTCAGGCTTGCGAAAACAGACATGCGATGGCCAAAGCTTTGTATTCTCGAACCTTCGCCTGGCTGATCAACCACATTAACAACTGTATCAATCCAGGTCAGGATTCTTCCAGGTTTCTAGGCGTCTTAGATATATTCGGGTTCGAAAATTTTGCTGTAAATTCTTTTGAACAACTTTGCATCAACTACACCAACGAAAAACTGCACAAATTCTTCAATCATTACGTCTTCGCACTGGAACAAGAAATAGTAAGTGATTTTTTGTATAGTTTCTTGTGTAAAACATTACTGTATAGTGTATTGTTTAGACCAATAATATAAATAAGCAAACCTTACTTTGCAAAACGAAGGTACGCATAATAAATTCAACTCAGATGTAAGCAGAAAAATGATAAGTTGCCACAAAGTTTCTTATCGAAGATCGTATATGATTTTGTATATTGATTTTAGTATTTCATTAAATTATACACATTTTTGTCACCCTTTTTTATTTAAAGATTATAGATTTTTATTCAATGATATACAGAGTGATATACATTCAACCTTGATCATTGAAATTATCTGGAATCAAGATAATTGAAGACATTTTTTTCAGTACAAACAAGAAGAAATCAGCTTTAATCATATAGCGTTTACGGACAATACATTATGTTTAGAATTGTTAGAGAAACCTCCCAGGTGTATATTAAGACTGTTAAGTGAGCAATGTCATTTACCAAGAGGCTGTGATGCGTCGTATATTTCAAATTTGCATACGGAATTTGAGAACCACGAGCGATATGTCAAAGGTAATGTATGATGTTCGGATTTCAGATATTATAAGTACGAAGCTATATTTTTTATTTCCCTCTTTAATGCTCTGCTGAACTGTAAAATCTGTGTGTAAAATTAATTGCGTTATAAGAATCATAATATAATATTTTTAGCATACATCACTTGATATTGGTTTTTCCATAACAGAGATGTTGACATTTTATTGTAAACATGTTTAATCTGCCCTTACTAACTTTGTTTTCTACAAAAGACAAAAATTATATCAAGGGGAAAAGTGCGTAATTAGTTAATCATATTTTCAGTATATCCCAGTTTGAAATATTTAAGGGAAAATTGATATTTTCAATTTTGTCTTGCTGTTACGCCCATCTAGCGGTCAACTTTTAAACTTGAAAATAATTTAAAGAAACTTCTTTTGTCCGATTTACCTATAAATAATTGTTTCTTTAAGCACTATAAATTGACGGTTTCCGAGTTATAACTGACGTTTTCTATTATTGGACCGCTCTATTTTGTAGACACACATTGGTCACATCTAAAGTCGCAACACCTCTATTACATTTAGCTGATGTCCGCTAATAACCGCGACCTTAGAGATCTATTGTGTGTTCTCCTTTCTTGAGTTATAAACGAGTTATAACTCATCATACAGTCTCAGGGATTTGACAAATGTCGGTATTTGAAACGGTTTTACAGAGGTTAGTTCTCCATCTCTGATATCAGTCGTACCAAACTTTATTGCACGAATTGTTGTTGTCTCGGCGCACTCAGTGATGAAGTGCTCTAGTGTTTTCCCATTTTGTTTCCCATTTTCTTACTGAGGTGTTCGTTGAGGAGACAGTGTCCCGTTAAAAACCCTGTGCCAATCCGATTGATTGTTCTTACTTAAATCAAGGAAAATCAGATCGTAAGTTCTGAGAAATTTCTTGAAGTATCTTAAACCGTTGGAGATTTTCATTCCAGGTTACGGATGGAGTTGTCATAGGGTAAAATATAGTGGAGTACTTCACCTCGCCGTATGACGATACTTATATGTTTCTAGATGCGCGACGAGTTGATTTGCTCCAATTGTTTTGATGTATAAATTTATCCTAGAATGTATCAGTATCTACATACTTCACTTTGTTTTTACCCCAAAGCTTCATTCAGAACCTCGAAATTAGTGGTATAAATTAGTGGTTTGCACTACCGTAGAAGTTAGTTCCTCTAATTTCAATGTAAGCATTCAGAACTTCAATATTAGTGGTAGTAATTTTCAAGTAGTAGAAAGTAGTAGGCTACTAAACTTTTGATTTTTTCCACTAATTATACTTTAAAATTCACGAGTAATGTCATTTTGGTCTTTGATTATCATCCATCAAGAGAAATTGTGGTTAGCAAGAAAAAAATTGTTTTATAAGCTAATTATTAGGCTCTCTCTATGGACATAACTGACTACCGCAATCAGTTCCTAGGATATTATCTTAATTTTAATCGTATTTTTTTAACATTGGGAATGATCTAAACTCTTAAGTATAAAGTATAATTGAAACCACTAATTCATTCCATTACTTTCGATGTTCTGAATGAAGCTTAAATTCAGAACCTCGAATTCCTCTAATTTCAATATAAGCTTTCAGAACGTTCAAATTAGTGGTAGTAATTTAAAGTAAGCAATCTTTTTCCATTAATTATACTTCGAAATTGTGATTTTGGCTTTTTATTATATCCTTTGATATTAGTTGACCTATGTAAATTGATATAAATTATTCAGAATTTTTAGGGAACATAATTTTCATAATACAAATTTGACATAACTTATTTTTCTAGGCGAAGATCGTAGACGATGGGAGACTGAATTTGGTGTGAAGCACTACGCCGGCTGTGTGACGTATAACGTCAAAGGTTTCGTGGATAAAAACAGGGATGTTCAGCAGGACGTCTTTTTTGACATTATCTCCCGAAGCACAAACGAGTTTGTGCAGGATTTGTCGACCTTTCAAGACTTAACACAGAAGGCACAAACGGCAAATGGGGTTGGTACGGTTTCTAGAGGTACTAGCAAGGGGAAACCTACAGTTTCGGATACTTTTAGGTGAGAATAATCACAATACATTATACTGTCTAACATATGTACGTTGTGGCAGCATTTATTTAGAAAATATTTGATTCTTTTATTTTACTATATTGTACTTTTATTATTTAAAAAAATATAGACTTTTATCTAGTAATATACATGATGAGTCTTAAAAGTGCAAATACTTTGTGGGATGGTATATTTCGACCCTAGAAACACGTCTACAAATCTTTACGAAAAAAATTGAAAATTGAATGTATAACACACATAGGTATTAGATTAATTTTAGAAGAACGAAAACACAGAAAAAATCCAGTGGTTCCCAACTTTTACGCAAAAAATGTTTTTTTTTAAATTTAGTTTTATTTTTTTTTATTTTCCTTTACGTCATCGTCATTTGCGTTATAATGTACAGGGACATCATTTTAAGTGTCTCACTCGATTTATAAATTTCCTGTTTGGTATTTAAAGATAATAGAAAGATTTTCTAATGTAATTTTTTGCGAGGATGCCGATTCTCTAGACCAAAATTTTTTAAAACGTCAATTTTGACAGATACGACGCATCTTGATTTTTTTTAAATGGAAACCCCATCATATTTTAGCATGGTCCGGTAGACATATTTTAGCTAATTTCAAAAGTATATAGTTTATTATACTTTGCACTTACCATTTTCGATATACAGTGGATTTAAAAATGAATTGTCCCAGAATCATTTTAAGTGTCTCATTCAATTTAAAATTTTCCTCTTTTCTATTTTAAGATAGTAAAAAGATATTTTAATGTAATTTTTCGCGAGGATGCCGATTTTCTACATTAAGATTTTTTAAAACGTCAATTTTGACAGATACGACGCCATCTTGATTTTTTTTAAATGGAAACCAAATCATATTTTAACATGGTCCGGTAGACATATTTTAGCTAATTTCAAAAATATATAGTTTAGTATACTTTGCACTTACCGTTTTCGGTATACAGTGCATTTAAAAATGAAATCTTCAAATTTGACAATTACGACGCTTAAAATTCTTTATTTATTTATACTTTGATTCTTCTTCAATATGACCTTTATATACGAGGTGGTCCGAACTGTATTCCGGAAACTTTGGCAGCATATTTTGCAGATAAAAATAAGTAAAAAAACAGTTAAAACACATGTAGGTGCCGCTCCCTACAAATAAGAGTCATATTGACATCAAAATCAAATTTCTCATGTCAAAAAACTCCCAGGCACGAATTTTCAGCCAAATATTGACGTCAGTTCAGAAATTAATTGGAAAAAATCGAAATAAAAATGAAACTTCTACACCGTGTATCTCCGAAACTAAGCATTTTAGGACGTCCATTTATACGAACTTTTTTACTTATTTTTATCTGCAGAATATGCTGCCAAGGTTTCCGGAATACAGTTCGGACCACCCTGTATATAAAAAACTTTTTTGAAAATTTAGTTTTAAAATGATAGCCATTTATCATAAGATAGCTCAATTTATGTAAATTTCATGCATTTGGATACGAATGCCATTCAGTTGTAAGTGAATGGCATTCATATCAAATACATCAAAATTAGAGGAATTCTTGATTTCAACCCCCTGTATATAAAAAATGGTAAATGCGAAGTATATTAAACTATATATTTTTGAAATTAGCTAAAATTTGTGTACCGGGCTGTGTTAAAATATGATGGGGTTTCCATTTAAAAAAAAAATCAAGATGGCATCGTATCTGTCAAAATTGACTTTTTAAAAAATTTTAATGTAGAAAATCGATATAAATCGAAAAATTACATTAAAATATTTTTTTACTATCTTAAAATAGAAAAGAGGAAAATTTTAAATGGGGTGAGACACTTAAAATGATTCTGGAACAATTCATTTTTAAATCCACTGTATATCGAAAACGGTAAGTGCAAAGTATACTAAACTATATATTTTTGAAATTAGCTAAAATGTGTCTACCGGACCTTGCTAAAATATGATGGGGTTTCTATTAAAAAAAATCAAGATGGCTTCGTATCTGTCAAAATTGACGTTTTAAAAAATTTTGGTGTAGAGAATCGGCATCCTCGCGAAAAATTACATTAGAAAATTTTTCTACTATCTTTAAATACCAAACAGGAAAATTATAAATCGAGTGAGACACTTAAAATGATGTCCCTGTACATCCTCAGTTTTCCGCACGTGGCCTCATAATAATCTCTAGGGCATATATACAAGGTGTCTCTTAAATAGGTGCTAGTATTTTAACTAGTAGTACCTCAAAAACACTTCCATGTTTTTTTTTGCCAAAAAAAGTGTTGAAAATGTTATATTTTTCTTGGCATTTTTGGGGAAATTAAAATAAAAACTTGTTAGTGCTGCAGCTTCATTCTCGTGAAATTTCTTGACGATGTATCGAAGCTTTGCAATGTTACCACTGCCATGTTACCATTACCCACATTCTGCATAATTTGTGTATTTAGAATTTCACATAATTTTCTACATAATAATTTACAAAAACTGATTTATTCATTACTTTTTAGTTTACAATCATTCACAATATTAAAAAAACAAGTAAAATTAATAAAATATCCTAGCAACAGCTTGCGTTAGTTGTATCCATAGAGAAAGCCTAATATTTACCTTATAAATCAATCAACTTTTGATTTCTAACCACAATCTATCTTGACAGAAGATAATCAAAGGCCAAAATGACATTCCTCACAAATTTTGAAGTATAATTAGTAGAAAAGTTGAAAGTTTGATAACTTTTTCTATTAATTGAAAATGTCTACCACTAATTTTGACGTTCTGAATGCTTAGATTTAAAGGAACAAACTTCTATACTAATTGAAACCACTTACTGCGAGGTTCTGAATTAAGCTTTACTTATAATTATAGAAAAAACGCACACTGCTTACTTTTTACGCACACTAATACTTTTTTACAATTCTATTGTTTTCAATTAAACTGAAACAGTAAATCTTAACTTAATATTACGAAGTTTTTCATTTTTACTCAACTCTTATTTTTGTGCGATAATGGGTTACTAGCGAACACCAACTTAACAAGGTAATACACCCACTCAGTCTCCATTAGCCGTGTAGCAACACAGGATGTAGTCACATCTACATCCGACATACTGATGCTGGCGGTTCTCAAAATATTAATTTTTAAAGTTAATGAAATCGCCTATTTTAAAAATTGCATATTAATAAACAATGGCAAATATAGTCTGTAAAACGAATAACTTTGAATTTGACAGTTCCCGCGGGCTTTTCTAGTGTTAATTTTATTAAGTTAGCAACTTGCGGTCATGCTGACGCAATGCCGTCTCTAATAGAACAGCCTCAGAGCGAGATTTATGACGTCACGCTAGTTAGGTACTACGGAGTAATAAATATGTTGTAGAATACATGGAAAACATAATTATTCCTCGTATTTTTGGTTTGTATTTTAATAATGATATAGTTTACATGAAATATACATAATATACAGTTAATAAATACAATATATATACGTATTTATAGTAATAAATACTTTGGCAGATAAACAATGAACCATACAAATGCAGCAAATGTTTTACAATATGGCTGAAATCGTACTCCATAGTCAATGTATATAGTTTTTGTGTTAAGAATAATAATTTAAAAAAATATGTGGTCATCTTTTGACAAGTTTATATTAGTTTTGATTTAATTTTATTAATTGCAGTAAACATTATACTATATAAATAAATTTTGTGAATGCAAATAATAATACATCACTATTAGTAGATATTGAATGTTTTTTGTTAAATTAGATCGATTTTCAAACCCCAAAATTTAAAATATATTTTACATTTTACCCATTATCTTATGTACTACCTATTCATTATTTGTATATTTTAAAACATTTGCTGCATTTGTATGGTTCATAGTTTTATTTGCCAAAGTATTTATTACAATAAATAGGTATATATTATATTGTATTTATTAACTGTGTATTATATATATTTCATGTAAACTATATCATTTTTAAAATACAAACCAAAAATATGAGGAATAATTATGTTTTCCATGTATTCTACAACATATTTATTAATCCGTAGTATCTAACTAGCGTGACGTCATAAATCTCGCTCCGTGGCTGCTCTATTAGAGACGGCATTGGTCTAATATTTAGAAATGTCAAAAGCTGATGACGTTTTACTTTTGTCAATTATGACATTTCGTGTTGATTTTTGCAAGAAGAGGAAGAACTGTCACTTGTTTTATTATTTTCCTTTTCTATTTCACGAAAGTAAAAAGAGTTACCTATCCGATTCGTTCAGGCACTCAATTTAAAGAATATCAGCAGGGTTCGGAAAACTACATGTTAATTTTAAAAACTACATAAACTACAATACATGTAGTTAATGTAGTTTATGTAGAGGGTGTAGTTTATGTAACCTATGTATGTAACTTTCAAATATTAAAGGTTTGAGGTGAGGTTATAATAAGTTGAAGCTTTAAAAACACATAATGTATTTAAGAAAACAGAAGAAATATGGCTTCAAATATAATATTTACATCATATTATCTCTATTACACCTCATACAAAGGAAAATTATTTATAATATCAATACATAGTTTATTAACGTAGTTTTCATGTAGTTAATGAACGGGAAAAGACGTAGTTTTAGAAGAAAAACTACACGTAGTTAATCAGGTAAATTACGTCTTAATTAACTACTTCCGAACCCTGAATATCAGTAACTTTTTTGACAGAGGGATTTTATATTTGCCATGTTGGTAAAAAATAACGGTCAAAATTCAAAGTTATTCATTTTATAGACTATAGAAGATATGTCTCTCTTGTCCAGATCTATCATCCCTTAAAATACTTGCACTTATTTAAGAAATACAAATAGTATGGAACAGATATTATTCTTGTTTGTAATTCTGTTAAAATCTTTTTAGACATCAGTTGCAAGCGTTAGTTGACGTTTTGCAATCCACAACTCCTTGGTACGTCAGGTGCATCAAACCAAACAAAGATAAACTTCCTGACGACTACGACGATGCTCTAGTTTTGGACCAATTGAAATATTTAGGAATGTTAGATATAATTAGAATAAGAAAAGAAGGTTTTCCCATACACATGAGTTATGAAGACTTCATATTAAGGTAAGCTTATTATAATGTGGGTCCTTATCCTGATACCGCTTTAAGCATACAATTACGTATTTAACTAATTTACTTAACCATTAAAAACTGCATTACACTAGTTAATTATGCCACAAAAATCTCAATATTTTTAAAATGTTTACAATAAAAGGAATAATAATTATAATTTGTTTGCAGATATCATTGTCTTTCCAAAAATCGTTTACCTCAAGACTACCAACAAGCTTCCCTGAATCTCATAGAGAGCCACAGACTTCCCAAAACTGAATGGCAATTGGGAAAAACGAAAGTCTTTATGAGGTCACACGTCCATGAACCCTTGGAAGACACCAGGAACAAAATGCTCAAAACCAAAGCAATTCTTATACAAAAGACTTACAGAAAGTACAAATCTAGGAAGGAGTATATTAAAGTTAGGGATGCTATATTGAAAATACAGCATGCTTACAAAGGTTGGAAGTTGAGAATAGAGTTCTTGAAGAAGAGAAGAGCCGCGGTGGTGATCCAGAGTCATTTGAGGGGTGTTTTCGCCAGAGGTAACTAACAGTTTTCTGTTAATCTCTTATGTTTTATTTTTATTGTTAAAGTAATTGTTTAGTCAAATATTATAAATAGACAAACCTTACTATACAGAGTGTCCTATTTTCATGTGTTTTACAGAGTTTCTCAATTGTGAGTAGAGGTACAAAGATGCAAGTTTTACATCACTATGCTACTTATTTATGAATCTAAAAATGCTACACACAAATATGTCCCTAGCCCTCTTAGTTTCTGAAATACAGCGCTAAACGTAGAATTCAGTAATTAGTTATTCACCGGGAGTTGTTAATTTTGAAATATTACTCACACTCAGGGTTGCCACTTTTTGTATTTAAAAAATCGGAACAGCACTGCTGCAACCTTTTTTCTTAAATGTAAAATTTTATGTGCCCATCGGGTTTTGAAACAATATTTTATGCCTTTTTGCGTTAACTTAAAAAACTATTCGAAATTTATAAATAATTATGTAAAAATAAAAAATGGAAAGTTGAAAACAAAATTAGTAAACAATCAATTCAAAGAACTAGAACAAAACATAAACAAAATCAAAAGTTTCAGCTGTATAATCTGTATAATTGGCTATATTAGTTTATTTAATTATTTTTAAATGAACATTTTTTGGTAAAATAAAACACTAATTCCCCACAATACAACAAAACACTTTAAAATATAACATATTTAGCATACACAAGCATAAAAAGGACCTAACACCTACAAGTGCGCTAATTTCCATTAAACACTACTTTTAACACTGGACTCGCGTTTCGTTAACCAGCTTAGCATCATCAGCAGATTATGAAAACATGGTTAGCTTCAAATTTATGATTAGCGAAACGAGCGTCCAGTGTTAAAAGCAGTGTTTTTGTGTATTGCGGTGAATTAGTGTTTTATTTTGCTATTGTAACAACAAAGGTTCCAACCCCCAATTGTAATGAATATTTTTGAAGTTGCGTTCTAGTGAGCTTAACTGAACTCTATTTCTAGCCGTCTGTCTACTTCAACATCATACGTGAAAATATATAAATAACCTTAAACAATGAAGGCATATAATTCACTCTAGTTTTAAAAATACTACTGTATTTTTTTATCTGTAATTTTTATATTCTTTTTGGCAAATATCCTTTACGCAAGTTTTTGTTATCGAATATTCATTAAACAGAGTATCAATATCTATTTCTACTAAAATTTCTAATATTAATTTGTGGAAAAGAACTGTTTTTAAATTCAAGAAATTAATAAGCATTTAATTTTAATAATAAATTTTACAGTTTTATTGGTTAATAACAATGTGGCTATTAAACAAATAAAAATCGGGACTGTCCCGACAAAATCGGGACGGGTGGCAAGCCTGCTGACACTTATGTTTTTTTTAACGGTACACCATGTATATTATTTATTTATTTTTTTTTAAGCTATCTAAAAATATAATATACTATATACATATTTTTATAAATAAGTTAAATAAATGCATTATTTAACTTTTTAACATTGTTTAAAAGAGTATTATTATTTTAATTTATTTAATTTTGTTTTCCGTCGTGTTTTCTTAATAAACTGTACCGAAAATGAACTTGTGTAGCTTTTAGCACGCCCTATAAATTAGAATTATTGAAATGTTTGATGCAGCCGAGCAATTTTACACACAGAAACTAGCGTATATAGTATATATACGCTAGTTTCATTTTTTCTTATTGAAACGACTTACGATTCGTTCATTTGAACAAGCTATAAACATATTTAGATATATTATATTCAGTAAAAAGAGATATTTTTTTTATAAATTACTTTCACATCGCTTGCATTTGATATCCATGATGTTTGTTTAGGGCTTTTATTCGAGTCTATTGATGCCCTACTTCATAAATATGCATTCTTCATAATTATGCAGACGGCGTAAATTATAGTTTATTTTATTACTAATATATAAAATTGGTATAATAGAACATAAAAGTTTATCACTAAGATAATAGTTACTTATCTGTATTTATATCATTGCTATTAGATACCTAGATTACAAACCTTTGGGTACCCAAGCTCATAGTATATAATTCTAATATTTATTTTTTAAACGAGCCGTATTGTAAGCAATGAATCAATTCTCACGATTCTTGGAGCAAACGAGCCGTACAAACGAACGAGTCGCACTGTGATCCGATTCCTTCCGACTCTTTTTTACGAATTCTTACAAGTTCGTTCAAATTTTATGAATCCGTTCTAGTCACGATTTAATTTTTGAACCGTATTCTAAGTGGTGGATCGAATCTAATGCTTAAAATGCACACTCGCCGAGGCAACCCGAGGCGCGACGAAATATTAACGATATGTACATTGATATTGGTTAGGACCGTCTTTTTTTGTCGCGCCTCGGATAGCCTCGGCGAGTGTGTACTTTAAGCATTAGGTTCGATCCACCTCTTAGAATACGGTTCAAAAATTGAATCGTGACCAGAACGGATTCATAAAATTTATATTAAATAATGCATTTATTACCTTATTTATGAAAAGATGTAGACAGTATACTATATTTTTAGAAAGCTGATAACAAGACAAATAAAATTAAAGAAATCATATACAGGGTACTCCGTTTAAAAAAAACATAAGTTTGGGTAATATGTCAAGAATGACAGCTCCCAACGAATTATAGTTAAGCAACTGAGTTCTACATGAAAAAGTCTATGGGGCTCAATTTTCATCTTTTCAATAAGTTATAAGAGAGATACAAAGGTGGTCGAAAAGTGTAGTTAGTTTCGTAAAAAAAAGTAGCACAGTAATCTGAAAACCGCATCTTTGTATCTCTACTTATAAGCGAGAAACCCTATAAAACACACGAAAATGGGACACATTTACTAAGCGAAGGTGTATTCTAGATATTCATACAATAATGTAAAAAGAAAATACTAGAGTGCTACTATTTATTAAAAAATATATTAACCGATATCGTATAATGACGTATTTTATTAGATTATAAATATTTTCTGTGTTTTTGTTTGAAAAAAAATTATTTGTTTTTGTATCAATAATTTATATAACATAACTCATATTCGTCAGTTTTCAACTAATATTTAATTTGTCAAAACCGCAGTTGTTTATTTGTAAGATAAGGCCGCGAGAAACTGATGCTTTGTTTACATTTTTAAAGTAATATCTTCTTTCTTTTTGTAGAAGTGGCTGCCGCTTTAAGAGAAATGCGCAGAGTGGAGGAAGAAATGCGCAAACGCGAACGTTTAGAAGAGGAAAGGAGACAGAGAGAAGCAGAAAGAAAAGAGAGGGAAGCTAGAGAAGCGGAAGCAGCGAGACTGGCAGCGGAGAAAGAAAGAGAATCTAACGAGATTAATAGTTTTCCACCACCCCCATTGCCTCCGCCTATAGAAAATGGAGAACTAGAGGAATGTGAAAGGTAAGAACCCATGTTTTTTGTGTTAGAATAGGATATTCTGTTGCTGATTTATATTTATCTTACACATTTGATATTTTATTATATTTTATTGAATTAGAAATCGCTCTTTAATTGTTCATTTTCATTGTCAATCATTAAAGAGATATTGCGATACAAAGATGGCAACATGGCAAAGATGGAAACAAATTAAGTTTTTAATTTTTATCTTCGCTATAGAGTAATAATAATAATAGTAATAATTGCTTTTATTGGACCCTGTCCGTTTCACATCCAAAACATTAAAAGACTACCCAACTGGAAATCACCCGGCAAAAATGGCTTACACAACTTTTGGTTTAAATAACAAACAAGTGCCCATCCCAACTTGCTACATGTTTCATATATTTTTCGTATATTCAACATCTTAAGTAAACCTGAAACGCTTCACAATTTTCTTAAGGAAATACTTACCTTTTGCCCAAGTCTGATCCCAAGTCTAGAGGAATCGTTTAAAGCCATTTTCAAAACTCTGGGAATTCTTCCACCGATGAGGCTTTTTTTAACTAATTTGACTGGGGTAATAGATAGCTTGGAAATGAAGATCATCATTTTATATATGGGAAATGTCATCGATCGTTATTTTCTTAAGCCAACTGTTGTAAGCCGCATGTTTTTTTTTCAGTCATATGGTATTTATCTGAAATAAAAAAAAACAGAATTGTTATTGCCCGCCATCTTTATTGGACAATTTTTTTCTAATGCTTGACTTTTGACCCAATGTTTATATGTATAAGAATGATCTTTCTACCTTTAAAAATGTTTTCGAATCTGCCAGAAAGCACTCTGAATCACCTAACTACTATAATAAACATATCATTCCAAAATGTCTTAAGACGGCAATAATCATTCCTCTGCATAAAGGACGAGACCAAGATGACCATTTCTAAAACTAAAGCTTTGTCGTATAAAAACTCGCTGCAGCCTTTTGTACTTAACAACACCGCCATTGACGTCGTAAAATCGGTAAAATTCTTAGGGCTTGTTTTAGACAATTCTCTGAAATGGGACATGCATATCGACGCTTTGTTGAAAAAATTAAGCTCTGCCTGTTTTGCATTAAGATCTGTTTCTAAGGAGCTTAGCTTGTCAGTGGCTAGAACTGTTTATTATGCACTTTTTGAGTCGCACCTCAGGTATGCCCTTCCATTCTGGGGTACGTGTTATGCGACTCAATTTGATCGCATTTTCAAGCTCCAGAAGAGAGCTGTTCGATATTCACTGGGACTAAACAGCAGAACTCATTGCCAAGACTTTTTTAAAAAATTAAAAATATTAACTCTTCCTTCCTTATTTATATTTGAATCCGTTTGCCTAATACGTAAGCATGTATCAGCTTCTCAAGAAAGGCCATCTCACACTTATCCACTCAGGAACGCGGAGCAATCCTGAGTGGATAATATCTTATTCTTTATCTACCTACCCCACGCTCAGAGTTAGTTAAAAGTTCAATATTATACAATTCGAAAAAAATGCACATTCACCTGCCATTTGAAATCAAATCCATAAAATTATTTTCTTCATTTCGCAAAGCATTGAACTCTTATTTACTAGACAAGGCTTTCTACGCCGGAAATGAATTATATTTTGATAATCGAATTTGATCTTGTAAACACTGGTCTAATGTTTGTTATTGCTATATTTACTAATGACATCGAAATAAATTTATTTAAAGTTCATTGATATTTACTATAAACTAACTAAATATTTTTGAATATTATTTTTATTTTTTTATTCTTTGAGATTGTAAACATTTATAAATGTTTATTTTAAACAATAAGACTGACAATATTATTTGTATAATGTTTTGTATTATCTTTTGTTTGTTTGTTTGTGTACCTTGTTTGTTTACTTTGATTGTTTAGTTTACTTTTGTCTACAAATTAAAAAAAATTTTTGACAATAAAGACATTTATTTATTTATTTATTTATTCTTTATATTCAACCTTTTTTAAGGAATCGCCCTTAAATTTTTCGCCTTGTAACACACTGTATGAGAAAGCCACCGAAATGATTTCTCTATTGATTATAAACTTAAAGTGATATTTACTCAAGTGTTAACAACTAAAATAAATAATATCTAACTATTCTTTCAGGGCCGCTGAACAAGAAATCGCGGCTCTGTCCCAAATGGCCGAACAGCTCAAGCCCCACCTCAACGAAAATGCCACCGAATCAGTGGACCTAGACAACCTCTTCGCCTTCCTGTCCGACGTCGCTCCGCAGTCCACCACCCGCAATAACATCATCGACGAAATAGGCGAGAAAATGAACGAACTGGTGGAAGACCTGGACGTAGAGTTGGAAACTGTGATTCAGCAGGAGCTGGAGGGTCTTGCGCAGGAGCAACAGCAGCCGACACCCCCAAAAATGGGGCTCCCCAGTCTTCCAGAGCCCACGGGGCCTCCTCCTCCACCCCCGTTCCAGTCATCGCCGGAAACACCGGTGTCGGCGCCACATGTGGTGGAGCCTGTACAGAATGACGTCTGTCAAATTAAAGGTATTGTTTATGCTTTATATTGAAAAAGGGACTAACACTTGGTTCAATTGCATAACATACGAATATTGTTATTGGTTGATTAAAAAAAAATACAGGAGCGGCAAAGTTCACAGAAAATTGTTTTAATATTTTGCGAATTTTGAGGAGCGCGTGCGAATTTTAAGGATACATGTCATCGGTCATCATATTATAAACATTGGTTAAGACAGTATGAAAAAATTGTACATAATCATTATTAGGCCAGTCGGTACGTCGTTTTAAATAGGCCTAGGTGGAAATAATTAGAGGCAAGCTGAATTATTTTTTATTTGATTTGTTTTGATGTGCTGAATAATAAATATATTCAATTTGCACGGTCTGTCGATCCCGGATTTAGCCGCCATTTTGAAAAAGTCGATATAAAAACTACATTTTTATGGATTTTTTAAAATATCTCGGTCTGGGTGCATTGTAGAAAAAAAATGCAGGTAACCAAAAATAAAGCAAATTAAATTCTCTACAAAAAAGGTTCTATTAATTATTCTCGTAAACTTATCAGTTCTAAAGTTATAGCAATTAACATCTAAGGCTTATTAGCCGACCATACTATCAGGTAATTTTAATTTCACTCAAAATGAGTTATTTGGGTCATGAATGACCTAAATACAAAATATTTTCATGGTGTCTGTCTGTCTGTCTGTCTCGCCGTCTGTAACATGATAACTCAAAAACCGCTAAACCGATTTTAACCAAATTTGGCACAAAAATACTGTGTATACCCGAGAATCTGGCCATTAGTTTTTGGTGGGGGTGGGTGGTTGGTAAGGTGGTATGGGAGGGGGTTAAAATTTTAAAAAAATCGTAACTCCAAAATTACAGTAGCTAGCGAAACGCGGTTTTCAATTTAAGATTAGGAATAATATTTGCAACAAAATTTGTAATAACATCAAAATCAGTCAAAGTCGCAGTTTTTGAGATACTCCGTGTTTCCGTAGTCCGTTTTTGAGAAAATCCATGTGGAGAACTCCAATCTCCCATCGGACGCGACCCCAGGTGGCGGATAGGGGAAATAACCGCGGACCAAAATTGGAAAAATTCCTTTACTTTGAAACTAAAAGAACTGCCTGCCAACTTTTTATTAACATATTTTAGTATGGGCGTGCCTCCCGGCGCTAAATTTTTTTTAAGTACATCTTATTGTGCGCTGGCGTTAAATTTGATAGTTGATCTATTCGACAACACCGCGAGACGGCAGCCGGGGTGCGATCAATTACGCAAACCAGTTCGGGCGACTTTTAGTTTTAGTGTTTCGTTATACTATTCCGAAGTAAGACACAAAGATTAGGATTAGGCCTATAGGGGAAACCACTTAAAAAAGTGCGCCGTGTGCTCTACCGCCAGGTGGTGTGGAAACGAGCACAAGAAAAACATAAATTTGTACTGGCAAATTATTCAAATTTACATAGAATCAGTTTCTCATATTAAATGAACCACTAGAAAATATATGCTTTGTATTTAAGCGCCTATATCTCGTTAACCTGTTCATGCACGAAATCGGTGAATAGAACCTTTTTTGTAAAGAATTTAAATAGCTTTCTTTTTGTTTTCTTTCAAATTTTCTGTGCAGTGCACCTACACCGAGTTATTTAAAAAAAAAACATAAAAATGTCATAATTTGACAGGATTTTTCAATATGGCGACCAAATCCGGGATCGATAGACCGTGCAAATTTAGTAGAGTATTCAACAAAGCAAAACAAAGAGAATAAGTGTTATTGCAGCTTGCCTCTAATTATTTCCACCTAAAACCACTAGTCGGCTGGTCTATATTAGGTACTTAATTTTTTTTTTTTTTTAGTTAGTCCAGTAAAACAAAGACACAAGTCTCGGCGTAATTCGTCGACCTTGACTTTTTAGGCGGATTGTGTACCTTTTGGAGAGTAGTTTTAGGGGGAAAGTTTGTAACACCATGCTCGGCCAGCTTTGGCCGAAAAATCAGTTTTCCCCAAATATCTGCCAAAATATGCAATTTGCCAAATTTTTCTTTAAATAAAAAATGGCCCTTATCATTTTTTACTTAGAATTAATAATTTCGAGATATTTCCCGTCGAAGATCCCTGAATTTTCTCTCCAAGTCTTAACGCTCCGAAGATAGATTTCATAAGCGTATCATTGATTGATAGGACAAATTGTTTAATAACTCAGCTAAAATTTAATATTTTTTGGCGATTCAAAGTTCATTTAAAAGGTAGAGCGAACAGCCATCACATTTTGGAACTTGTTTGAATTTTGTCATATTTTATGATAATAAAAAAACCGGGTAAACCATTCCTTGGCCCCAAAATTTTCAGATTTTTACAAACTTATTCAAATTTTCATAAATAATAGCTTATTTGTCATGATTTTTTATAACAGTTGTTATTAGAGTCTCTTTAAGCAATTCAGAAAGTTTGAAGTATTTGTTTAATTACATTTTTATAAAACAACAACTATTCGTGAGTTGCTTTTTCCGCTTTTTGGGGATTTTCGGAAAGTAAAGAAAATTGCACAATAACTTTATAAGTAACAAACATCAATGAGGCGTTGGAAATCAATGATAAAATTTCAAAATTACCTGCAATATCTTGCAACTCTTTCAGAGTATATTGTCCTGTTCATTTTCCCAGATATAATGGACTACCTTCACCATTTGGTTTGAAATATGAGCATCCAAGAGACGTCCTACGCCTTGATGGTCCAGGGGCTGTGGAACATTACTTATAAACTTGTGTATGACAATGCTTGCGATATCTGGCACCCGCACATCACCCGCACAAAACAATCTTGACAAATAAGCTATTATTAGTAAAAATATAGTAAATATATATATTAGTAAAAACAATGTTACAATTTTTTCCCCTAAAACTACTCCCCAAAAGGTGCACAATCCGCCTGAAAAGTCCCGGTCGACAAATTAGTCCATGGTTTTAACCATCATTTACTGGACTATGTAAGAAGTTCAATGTTTTGAATGCAAACTGGTAATGTCGTTGAAAGTTTTCAAAACCATCGGGAATCGAAATCCCTTATAGACATTCTATGTTTCTAAATCTGTTTTCATACTTACTTCTTATTCCTTGCACTAAATAATTGTGGTTTGGTTTGAATGCCCCTTGCTTAGATTTTTATTTTGCTATTTTCTCTTTTTAAATATTTCACATGTTTTAATTGTTCTATGCATTTTATTTTATTATTTTTTTATTAATAATTATGCAACAATAGTTCATCTCCTACGCCAAAAATAAGTAGCTTCATCTAAAAATATATAAAGATAAACGTATGTATATATAGCTATCACCGCGGCGACTAACAGAACAAAAATGACAACTGGAAACAAAAATAATTTTTTTTATTCAAGTGAAAAATTTTCACTATTATATTCTCTCTCGCTTCTATTGAATCAACCATAAGGTAAGGAAGGAGTATATCAACAAAAATAACGAGACTGTGATGGTATATTAATATGGCTGTCTTGAATTACGGTTTATCTATAACGTTCTTTTTTTAAACATGTTAAAATATAAGAAGGTAGGATAGACTCAATAATTTGCTGGTTTTGTTTTACGTTGATTTAATAAATATTTTTAGTTACTAAAATTGTTAAAAATATATAGCTTTGAATATAAGTAAATAAATTAATTTAATTATTTAATAACAAAAATGCAGATAGCCTACTGAATAACTAAGCAGAATTCATAAAATTTACGCATCCTAATTAGTAAATAAGTTAATAAAAATATAAGTAGTTACCCCTAAACGAATTTCATAATGTTTGGTTTACTACTCATAATATAATACATATAATTACTTACCAGTAAAAATTATTTTTCATACTTTTTATCTCAAAACGATCACACGCTGCATAAGTAACAATTTTTCAACTATTTTTTACTATCAACTAAGATTCACAATAATCTCATTGTAATTCTCAGTTTGTTTATACTGTGCTTAAAGATTCGTGTTGTTTTACGAAGCTAAGCAGTTTTACTTACGAACTTTTGTAAAATTAGTTACATCTTGCGGACCTAATTTTTTTTTTTCTATAATATTACCCTTGATTATGTATAAATAGATGTACAATGAGGGCTTAGTACAAGCCCGTCTTCTAGGTGGCGCCTTGCCCGTTCTGAATTTTTGTATTCCCCTACGATTTTCTTTGAGGGGAATCCGTTAAACCCGCCCATCGTTCAAAAATGGAAGGGCGCGAGGTCACATCTATTGAGCCACTTATTAGCACGTTTCACCCATGTTTTACGAAAATAGCTTTATCCTTGTTTGTTTCAACTGTGACAAGAAAAAAGGAAAAAAAGTTATATTCGCTTCTAAATTCGGCAGTTTTGTTGATCTTTCTCGACTTGTAATTTCGTTTCGTTTAGGTTATGTCTTATAAAAATAAATATTTTATGCTATAAATTCTTTCATTTCTCACTTAGCTTTTTTGTAATTGTCAGATATATTGTGTATCTTATAATTTTTCCGAGAATTTTTCTTAATAACTTGATAAGGTAAAATATTGTTTATCTACAGTCAACCCTGTGTTTAGATAAAGCTTCATATCAGATTTCCTATTTTATATTTTCACTCAAATCATATTTTTTGTAAAATATGCTTGCAAAAGTAGCGTAAATTTGACAGGGAGGTATTTTTATAGATATACAGGATGATTCAAATATATATTTACTTTTAAAGTTATTAGTTATGAGCAAAGGTTATGAGTTTGTGAAAAGAAAGGCTATATTTTGTATTTTTGCTTGGTGGATTTGTTATTAAATTGTCATTCCAAAAAATACCACAATGTCATAGTCGTATAGAGTTCATTTTGACCAAAGAATATATTTTGACCCTTTTTGGATTGAATTTTATTGTTTATATAATAAAATATATATTTAAAGCCCTCTCTTTCTAAGTTAAGTTAAAAATAGGTAATATCGACGTTTTTTACTGGAACTAATTTAAGTTAATAATTAATAATTATATAATTCATATAATTATATTAAAATAGACTAAATTGTTTATTATATACAGGATGAGTCAAAACTAGATATTATATTTTTCTTTGCTATTTCAAATGAAACACTGTATTTTATATCATAAATCAACAAAGCTTTTATGCAACTTTTGTTTTATTAAGATCTATATCCCAAATTAATAGTTATTAAATTGTTTTCAATTGTCTCTTTGCGAATAAACATGATTTTTTACGCAATTTTTATTAGTAGGTTTGTCGACAAAAGTGATGTATCTATTTATCAGCGACAAAAATTAAGAATTAGATGTTTAAAATAATTTTCTAATTATTTTTTTACTTGGCATCAGTAAATATGATTTATTTTATCGATGCAGCTGAAAATAATTATGTATTCTAAAAGAGGACATTACTGTATATACATCGATTATGGATTTAAAAATTATTTTTCAAAACAAAGTTGGAAAAAATTTTTGAGAAAAAATTGGAGTTCTGTTCGAAATAATCGAGAAAAACCCAACATCTAGTTTTGACGCCCCTAGTATATATCATGCATTATAGTTGATTATACTGCAATTTATTATACATACGTAGTTTTGTTTGGTGAAAATGAAACTTTCTAAAAGTATTCCCAATTAAAACATATTAAGAATTTCCTACATTATAATTTTGAAGACGTTTGAGTGGGCAGACAATTTGGTCTAAAATAATATGTCTAAAAAATTTAGCCTAAAATAATCAAAAACCACTTAACACATATAACTCGCTTTTAAAAAATCTAAAAGAAATAAGTTTGTTTATTATATTCATATTTTATTAAATTATTATAGGTGTGACTGCTAAGTGGTCGTACTCGCCACTTTAACCAAGCATTGGTGGGACCTTCAGAGATCATAATGCGAATTTCTTCATACCATGTAAATCTATATACATGTATTAATAAATGCGTTTGCTTTATTAAATTTTTTTTCTTATACGGTATGAGCGAAAAAAAACGGCGTCTATTTGTTTACGTACAAATGACATCGATATTCATTTCCAAACCACCTCTGAGGCCGTTTTTTTTTATCGTATGGTATATATTTACATATCCCTTATCCTTTAATTCCGATTTATTTCTAATAATTATAAAAATAAGATACCTGATTAATTCTTCCGAAATATTATAAAATGAGATATCACGAAAGAAATAAAGTTAATTATCTCGTTTGTTTTGGGAATTCCAAAAAAATAAAAAAAAGGGTATAGAGAATCTTTAGAGACACAGTTCAAATGTTATTTTTGAGTATACTGGTTGCTTCAAAAAATGTGGCGGATACATGTTTTTTAATGCAAAACTCCATTTTTATTTTATTTTCGATTCTGCCTAAAATTCTATAACTTTTTTTTATAAATAACGTTAGTAAGTATTTACAATTTAAAAAAAAAGTAAAATTTTATTCCTATGTTACTTAACTGTCAGTTGTTTCCGAAGTTGGACTACACAAATTTGGTAGGAGTGTTTTACAGAGATGAAAAAAAAATATATTTATATGTAAAAATACTTGCAGTTAGATGCTACACTGTGTTCAAACATTTTTTTTGGCTGATCCGATATATATATTATTATTTTTTCTAGTGATTTTACAAAACCTTTCAACATTTGTTAAGAAAGTATATTAAGTACACCTATACTCAACAGCTTGCAATCTGTTCTGAATTTTATCCTTCTTTTAATTCATTTACATTATAACAAGTTGCCATATGACAAAACAAAAATTATTTATTATTAAACATTAAGTAAAGTGATTTATTTAGTTATATGACATTCTTAATAGAAGTTGAAGGATTTTGTAAAATCTATCAGAAAGAATTATAATATATCGGGTGTTTTTCAAAAGTAGCTTGATTGATGTATTCAATTAGTTTCGGTCATTTCTTGTTTCACCGGAAATGACTACAACTTTTGGTTTTTAAATGGTACCGTCGGTATTTTTTTACTTTATTTTGCAGAATATGGCATTCTCAATAGAATAATTCAATGTCAACTTTTGACTCTTTTACTTAAAAAATAGTATTTTAAAGTTCAATCTAGTAGAGTGCCATGATAATAAACAACATGTAACCGGTCGTAAAGATAACGACAGTTTGACTCGACATACGGAGTGTGTGGTACCAAATTATTTACCAAAATTAGGTACCAAAATTTATTAGGTATCAAAAAATGCTTTTCCAAATATGCTAATGAGCCACTCTCGTTTCATTAAAAAAAATTGAGTTATGATTAAAATACGAAATGGGCATATTTCAACTGACCAGGAAAAGACACAAAAAATATTAGACGACCAAATCAATTTTTCCAAAGCTCCTTGATTAATCCTTGATTAAAAAATAATGGTTTTAACACAGCCATGACACTAGATTGAATTTTAAAATGCTATTTTTGATTTAATTGAAAATGTCAAAAGTTGACATATGATTGTTGATGTCAAAAGTTGTCATTCTATTCAGAATGTCATTTTCTATCAAATAAAGTACCGTATGATCGAATAAAAACGGCGTCAGCAATGGCTATGAAATGAAAAGCGCTGTCATTTTATATGTAAATTTATATGAGAAATGTCATCGATGTTCATTTCATAGCCATCGCTGACGCCGTTTTTATTCGATCTTACGGTATAAAAAATACCGAGGGTACCATTTAAAAATCAAATGTATACATTTCCGGTGAAACAGGAAGTGACCGAAACTAACTGAATACGAATCAATCTCGATTTATGTCATATACCTACTAACATTCCCAATTTAGTTTTTTTCTCGGAATCTGAAAAAATAAAAAAGTTATAGAGGTGAACCACTTTAAAAAAAAACACTCAGTATAGGCTGTGTCATTGAAAGAGTCTGCAGATATTTTTTTAATTTTAAATACGTAGAATTAACCATTAATATATGTTGAACACCCTGTAGCATCTGCCTTAAATATCTACATAGTATCTAATATTTTTTCTTCATCAACAAATTGAAATATTAGAAAACTAGTTTTAGGTTACACCATTATACAAGGATTATACATAAAAAAGTAATAATTTTACGCATTCGGTTCGAAGCAGATAAGATATTTTATTCTTTACCGAGAATTAAATTCGAAGAATTCCTAGTCCCTACTTCTTTGCCAAATTCAATAGTCTCCGCCCCTTTTTACGTTTTAATTTCTGCCACCAGTTGGCAGCATCGACTTATACAGGCACATTGACTAACTATTAATATATAAACAAGGATATTACTAATTGCTACTATGCCGATTCAATAATGTTTCATTAAATTTCAGAGAAACGAAGTAGGGACGAACCTATTTACGAATCTGTGCTTCCACGAGACGATTCCGCCAACCTTCCAGTATGTGTCTCTCCTCCACCTTTACCAGCACCACCAAAATTGCCATCTGAAAGCCCAAGACCAACACCGACGGTTTCCAGATCGAGTAGCTCCGTAGTAAGTCCCGAAAAATTAAATATTACAAATGTTGCTAAAGTAGTAAGGTTGTCTGGTAATATAATCCCGCAACATATACCGGGTGCGTCTCAAAAGTGGCTCACCCCTATAACTTTTTTATTTTTTCAAATAAATACGAGATTTGGTTGTTAGTATATGATATAAATTAGGATCGATTGACGCATTCAATTGTTTTCGATCACTTTCTGTTTCACCGGAAATGACTACAACTTTTGATTTTTAAATGCTACCTCTGGTATTTTTTTACTTTATTCAATAGTAAATTACACTCTGAATAGAATGGCATGTCATATGTCAACTTTTGACATATATTCGCTTAAACCATACATTGTATTTTTAATGTCAATCTTGAGTGCCATATATGGCTGTGTTAAAAACACTAATTTGATGATGCCCAAATCGTATGTTTAATCATCTCAATTTTTTCGAATGGAACAAGGCTGACTGCATATGTGGAAAAAGCATTTTTTTACAAATAATTTGGTACCACACACTTGGTATTTCGAGTCAAATTGTCTGAAAGTTGACATATATGTCATTCTATTCAGAGTGTCATTTTCTATCGAATAAAGTAAAAAAACACGGAGAGTAATTAAAATCAAAAATTGTAGTAATTTCCGGTGAAACAGAAAGTTACCGAGAAGAATTGAATGCGTCAATCAATCCTAATTTATGTCATACTAATATACCAAATCTCGTTTTTTATCTGAAAAAATAAAAAAGTTATAGGGGTGAGCCACTTTTAAGACGCACCATCTAACGAATTTCCGACGTTTCCTGCGAAAAAATTACGTCACAGATGTTAGATATTTGAAATAGTCGTTTTCATTCAACCGATCATTTTTCTTTTTACATCTGCATGATTTGTGTGTCTTGGGTGCCTTCATTTTGTATAGTAAGGTTTGTGTATTTATATTATTTTCTCCAACTTTCATTTTATTATTCTTTACAGTCTCAACACTGGAAGCACAATAATCACGAAGTTCCTGTCCAACAGCTATACCAGAACGGCCAACTCAATCAGCAACAGACTGAAAAGTTCCAACAGCAGACAAATAACAATGAGCGTGAGCAACGTAGGAAATTCAGAGTAGAGAAGAAACTTCTGGAGTTGAGCGAAAGCAGCGAAAAAGAAACTTCCGAAGAGTTGCATTACGACATGGTGGAGTTTGCTAACCAACATTTCAATGCTCATGAAAGAAGTCCAGAGGGTAACAATAAAAAAATGTTCATAATCCTAAGTTAAAGTTTAAAAAAGTGGGCGTTCACCAGTTGATATAACTCTCCTCACTTAACTTTTAATAATATCGCTATATTTTAATATATCGTTTTCAATTAGTTCCGATCACTTCCTGTTTCACCGGAAATTATTTTGATTTTTAAATGGCACAGATGAGTGAGACAAGATTATTAAGAAACATCTGTCACTTTTGGGGACAATTAAACTTCTTGTTTTAATTTGAACACCAATTACTGAGAAAAACACTTTTCTTCTTATGGTATATTTACTGATTTACTTGATAAGACTTCTGGAGATAATATTATTTTTTAAAACATTATTATTTTTCTTCTTTTTTGTTAATGATTAGTGATAAGTTTATTCATTTATTCTGTATAATTGTTAATTAAACAAAGGGGATTGTAATAAAGAAGAAAAACGAAATTATCGGGAAAACCCACAATAATTTTTAATTATAGATAGTTGTTAAGATAGTTTTAGAATGCTTTATTTTTAGGTACTATCATGGCAACGTTAACTAGGAAGCGACAAAGCTCTGAAATGATTCCTAAATATGAAATGGTCACTTACTATAAAGGAAATACTATTCCAAACTCTCACATACACCTCTACGATCCAGACAACATTAATGTGGCCTGTAGTATTTTCAGAGTAAGAATAGATAAAATTAAAAACTAACTTTGTGATACCTTAAAGGTGTCTTTGGCTTTTGTAACGTTAACTTCATATAAAAGTAAATAGATATAGGATATTTATGTTAATAAATATTTAGTATTTATTGGTATTTAATTTTTCTTTTTATACTATTAAATATTCAAAAGACATTTTTTTCAGGATTTGTGTAAATATAGCAGGGGAGAATTTAATTCTGAAAGAGAACTTGCTGTTATACAGTCCATAATTGGTTACGCTTTGGAAAGAGAGGAGTTAAGAGACGAAGTGTTTGTTCAGTGTATCAGACAGGTAATAATATGACAGTACAGGGTGTCCCATTTTCGTGTGTTTTACAGGGATTCCCGTTTATGAGTATAGGTACAAAGATGCGGTTTTCACATTACTGTCCTTTTTTATGAATGTAAACATGCTACACACAGATTTTTTCCAGCCCCCTTCGTTTCTAAACCACAGGGCGAATTTAAAAATGTTGCATTTTTCGTCTATCTTTGTATCTTAGCATCTTTAGATCCATAAAAAAGTAGCACAGTGATGTGCAAACAGCATCTTTGTATTTCTTCTCATAAACGAAAACCCCATAGAACAGAAAAATAGGGCACCCTATACACATTAGCAGTTTTATTTCAAGAAATGAAGGGTCCAGGGGAAAAACTTAATAAGCGCCAATTTCCTAATTTTAGGATTTTACGACGGTTACGGTTGTGGGAATTGTATCCCCCCCCCCCCCTCACGATGAGCATAACAACTTTTTTTTTCCCATTTTCGAAAATATAACAGCTCAAGGCAAGAATTTTTGATTTGTATTTTATATTAAAAAGCTGCAAGAAAACTTATTTTATATTGCTACATATACTTTATAGCAACCTCTTTTATGTTAGTTTTGATTTTTCTCTAGACAGCTCTTGGCAAATTTAAATTTTTATGAGATTGAATACTATTGGAATTAATATATATAAAAATATTGGTTTTATGCATAGTGTGAAAATCTTTGGTGAAAATCTAAAAAATGATATATGATAGTGACAGTTGTCTGTCATTGTAATACAAAATTAGATTATATTTTTTGTTTTTTTAATACAAAATTAGATTGTTTTTTATCATTTTTTTAGAGATTAGCACTGGACAAATTTTATGTTTAAATTTTAATTTTATTTCTGTGTCTACAAAAAAAATATAAAAGAATTTTTTTTTATCAAGGTTAATGAACTAAGTCAATGAGCTTTTGTCAAGGTTGGTGAATCATTTTTCTAGACATTTTTCTCTGTTCCAGGCTACGAATAATCCAAACTCTGATGCTACCGAAAAAGTCTGGCTGCTACTCTGTTTGTGTATCGTCTCGTTTCAACCCTCCAAGCTGCTTTATCGCTATTTTATGTCGTTTCTGAAGAAAAATCTTTCACAAGGAGGTAAAATCGCTCAATATGTTCAGTGGTGTTTGGATAACTGCAATAATACTAAAATCAGTGTGAGAGAACATCCTCCATCATCTGTAGAAATAGCAGTAAGTATAAGTTTTAATGGACTTCATTGGCAATTGTCAAAATTGGCTTTGTTTTGTAGGCAATGAGGAGATTGGGTACTATAGTGTGTCGGTTCTTCTTTCTCGATGGCAGAACCAAAGCCATCGATGTCCATCCGACTGATACAGCTCACGATGCTGCTAGAAAACTAGCGGAAAGATTGGGACTAAGAAACTTGGAAGGATGGGCTATCTACCAGAGTCGACCGGATGGCGAGGAACACGTCAGAGCCCACCATTATTTATATGACATCATAGCGCAATGGGAACAGTATGTATAATATCTTAATTCAGTATAAATCAGTTTTCTAGCTCATGTTGTGACGTCATTGTATATTTACCATATATGCACCAGTATCATTTTTACAATGAAGGGCTATAATACATATTTTAAATTTATATGTATCTATTAAAAAGGGCAAATAAGAAACAAATAAGTCTGACGAAAATATTACATTATGTGTCTTATAATTCAAGTATTTTATTTTTTGAAGAAGGTAAATAATTTATTTTTCTTTGGATTCAACTTAAAATATGTTCCTATTTACCTCTGACACATAAACCTAATCTATAACAAATAAAACCCTAACGTAAGTAACTACTAACTAGCAATAAATGAATAGTCTAGTCACGACAAACAAATAAAACCCTAACGTAAGTAACTACTAACTAACAATAAATGTATAGTCTAGTCACGACAGGCTGCATCAGCATAAACGCGTAACAGATTGAAAGTCGTGATCACGTCACTCTAAATAACTGTATTAAAAAATCACGGTATATCAGTTAACAGTGTAAATTAAAAATTACGGTATCTCTCACACCTGGTCTGTTCTTTTCCCGGCACACGATACCACATTTAACTAATTTATTATACCACTAAAGAATAGAATACAGTATGCATTTATACCTCAGTAATTTCACAATAACGATTAACTATTTATTTCCGATCACTATTTCATTAATTTCGTGTTCATAAGATAGTCCTCGACCATAGATAAAGAATATGTACAATACGTCTATCCGTTCTGTAGCTACGGGGCATCCGTAAGGGGGAAAACGATATTCTCTGTTACCGTTTCATCGATGTTTCTCGTAAAAAATTAGACGACGCGTCCCATCAATAAAAATTCGACAAATTTGCAAATAGCCAATGAAATGAGTGAGCGGAGTGTTTTGCGGTAACATACTCGTCAAGTCCACACATACTCGTCAAGTCCACGTGGACTCTCTGCCGCTTCTATATAGGTAGCGATTTATAAAATATATTGCTGTTTATTTAAATGTTTTCTGTCCGCATTCTTTTCATAGACACAGATCCTGTAGACGTACTTTATACTCTCCTCGACGCTCTGTTTACAAAAACTTTTTCTATGATTGTTCGCCTTGACGGGGATGGCGCTTTCGACGAATGTTTCGGTATTTTGCCCATAGATGTCGTCGGTGGTTCTACCTTAACCATATATTTATAAGGTAACTATATCGACTCCAAACTACACTTTGTGATGCCGAGCCGGTGAAATGGGTATATAAATCTTCTGCAGGGATTTACATAAATCGCTCAGTTAAGCGACCAATAAGAGACTAGACACTAGCATTAGCTGTTCATTTGTACGGCTTCGTACAGCTTCATACGGCTTTCGTTTGCGCTCCCGTTCGACAATTGGCTAATCCTCAGAGTCATTGCTAATCGATATTCGGAATTTTGGAGTTGCGCTATTGCGCCAGTGTCTGCCTAACATACAAACTTATGTAAAATATACATGGACCGGTTATGTAATTGTCTCTGACTCGGCTTCAACTCCAACACATTGCAGGGATAGGCGATGATCTATATAAAGTTAATAGATATATGACCTTAACAATACTTACTATAATTATTAATCTACAGTTTCATTCAATAAATTAAAATGTATTTTGTTTACAGGAACCAAAATAAATTAGCACCGCCAAGTGGTTTAGCGACCTTAGGGCGAAGAAGTGCTCAAGGTCTAACTGGAGGTGAAAATAGATTTATATTTAAGAGAAGACTGTTTAAGGCTTCTAGGGAGCTCAGCCAAGATCCTGTAGAAGTCAATTTGCTATATGCACAAGCAGTTCACAGTGTTGTTAAGGTAATTGTGTCCATTTAAACTAAAGCAAAGTGTCAGTAGTAAAATTAAAAGATCTTAACGACAATCTTTTAATCATTTATATCTTTATCTAAAAATTATACAATGGTTGAGACAAAACTCAAAAAAGGTTTTCCTAAAAAGTTTGTATTACACTTGAAATTAGAGATGAAAATAACTTCCACTCGACCATTTGTCACTTTTTCTTTCTGAAAAAGCGCGAAATTAATTTTCCATAACGCGTTTCAGATACGAGGCGCCTCCAACTATAAAAATTTAAATAGGGACCTGGATTTTTTATTTGGTTATTTAATAACCATTATATCTGCAAAATAAATTGTGACATAAAAGCCATAGCATACCATTTGATTTTTTTTAGTAAATCAACATAATTTGATGAATTTTGAACCAATGCTATCTAGTGACTACTAACAAAGTCATTATTGTAAAGCCCTTTTTTTCGACATTAAGTTTACTAAAATCGATTCATCTAAAACAGAGATATCAAAGATTACAGTTGGGCATCACTTTTGGTGTTACAACAGCAAAATTCACACTACTTCACCATAAAACACCAAAACACTTTACTTTTGCACTGGACGTGCGTTTCGCTAACCATATTAGTATCATCAGCAGATGCAGGAGCATGTGTCACATTGAGTAGAGCAGTGTTGCCATAAATTTTGGGTTAGGTAAGGTTAATCCCGAATTTCTTCAACAGGGGCTTAAAAACCCGTCATATTCCTTAAACTTCACAAACAATTCCAGATCTTGTAAAAAATTACTAAATTTTGTGTATTTTACCTGTTTTATAATTAAAAAAAAATTAAAAACTTATTTCTGGTGATTTTTGGACACCGATTTATTTAAATAAACTTTATTTTCTTATTTCAAAAAATTCATTGCTTACCATGACTGCTTGAATCAAAAATAATTAATCATGCAAGACGCCATGATCAACTGACAAGTGGTTTAGCGTCAAAATTCCGCCACCCTAAAATTTTGACTAAGTTTGATGTTTCATAACTTTTTATTTTGTAATCCGATTTTTATGATTATGAATTAGCTTATAGATACATATGGTGGCATTATTTTTTATTTATTTTAATGGCTTATACAGGATGGTCCGACATGGGCAACATTGGTTCTGTCATAATTCTCAAACTGAAACGCCTTATTCAGATTGCATGCGTTCGCCATCGCCTGAAAATTTTAACATTTATGACGTCACACAGCGTTTTCGCATCAGGCAAATTTCCAATCATTAATTTAAGTATTTTCCAGATGGAATTTGTACAAACTGATTTTACATATACCAGTCCGGTAGGGTCACATCTAGGCATAGCAGTTACATGCATTGGAATGACACGTCTATAAAAAGTCTAAGCTTAAACAGAGATGGACAACAACTTCCACGTTTCCACTTCCACCCTTTGTCGTCATTAATATTAATTCTCTTCCCGCGCCTCCGCGTCGCGCCAGCGAGTCTGTCCACCACAGAGTTGCCAGGTCTACCGATTTCGTCTGTAAACTATCGATCTATCGATTTAATTAATCAATTTATTAACTGTGCCTTTTGTCTTTACAATAGAAGCCCTTTTTAAAATTTGACACATTTAGACTAATAATTAAGCGATCATCGCGTCGTAAACCGTATAATTTAACATTCGTAAGTATTATCGTTTATTAAATTTTGTTTAGAAATTATAGGTGTTCGTTCTGTCTGGTCGCAGAATTACGAACGTTCCCAAAAATTCATATTCCTTATTATTTACTGTATTGGCGACATTTACGAAGATGATATCTTTAGACAATATTTTGTGTCATTCATCTACTAAAGTTGAACCCGCAGTTCCCCCCGTCCCTTTTCAATTTAAAGATAAATTTTCTGTTATTTTTGAATGCCGCCTGTCGAAATTTTTCCTCACTCGTTTGATCATGGCTTTTATGTCACGTCTCAAAGTTTATATCGATTTTATTACACCATGTATGTTATTGTTGATTTTTTCAGCGCGATGACTTCCCAGTGACTGAAAAAGTGGCTCTTCAGTTGGCAGGCTTGCAAGCTCAAGTGGCATTGGGTAATCCGAAGGATAACAATAAGTTAGAATACTACACCGACATAGACACATATTTGCCTTATAGAATATCCAAAACCAGGGGAGATGATGTGTGGGTAAGTTTGCACAATATATTTTTTGTATATTTTTATAGTTATTTTTATAATTCAGGTAATTTTAAAAATATAAATGTTTCTGTTCCAACACCAAAGTTTTTTTTTAATAATTATTAAAATGTCGCTCTTATAAGTAAATTTAGAGGTGTGCTAAAATATTTATTAGTGCAACCGTCACGTTTTTGATTACCACCATGCAAGTCTGTGATATTACACAGGAATATCAATCCAATACAAATTTAACTTCTGCGCTGGAAAAAATTGTCGTGATTTTTTTTTAATTTAATATATAGAAAAAAAATAGTTAGTAAAGTATATAATGTAAGAGTTACCATTCTTTTATATTAATTTTTTTTTTCGTTTTATCGAAATTTACCTAAAATCGCAATACTATACTTTTCTTCTTCATCATGTTGGAATCACTGATTTGTAAAACACCTTTAAAAACGTAAGAGATTGTAATATTGCAGGACTTCAACCAATATTATTTATATGTTATGAGCTACTATGTTGTCTTGTTTTTCTGAGTATTTATCTGATTTGCTATTTGTGGCTGATTTTATTTACTAGGTACCTATTATTGCTCAAGCTCACCGTCAATATGGTGCCAATAGATCCGAACTGACAGCTAAAGCCTTATACCTGACTTGTGTGATGCAGTACCCTCTCTATGGTACTACCATGTTCCCGGTTACTTATAGGGGATATTGGTCCTATGGAAACGCTCTTATTTTAGGTAAAGAATATTCAAATTTTAAGATAATTTTTTTCTGACAAAAAACTTAAAAAGTTGCATTCAAAATTTTTCATAATACAGCGTGTCCCAGGCTGATCGTGCATTAGAAGTTTCTAGGGAACCATAATATCTAGATCGGAGATTTTTTCTGACAAAAAACTTAAAAAGTTGCATTCAAAATTTTTCATAATACAGCGTGTCCCAGGCTGATCGTGCATTAGAAGTTTCTAGGGAACCATAATATCTAGATCGGAGATTTTTTGCACATTACTGTTTCACAACGAGATCTATCGATTAAAAATATTTTCAATATGGCGGCACTTCCGGAAATACCGGAAGTTGACAGCAACTTTCTTATTTTAAATGGATACGCCCATTTTTTATTACATACTTAAATTCTCTGTAAAATTTTGTGAATTTTGATCTCAAGCACTCTATACCTAACATTAACCGTTTTTGAGAAAAAAAAATTCATATTTTTGAAGGAAAAAAACTGCCTGTAAAAAAAAATTGTATAGCCTAAACGTCAAATTTAGCGATTACCACAGCCACTGTGACATAAAGAAAAAACATGTGACTATCTATTTCAAAAATTAAAATGTTCGAATGTCATATAGTATTGGCCGTAGCTGTCATAGTATTGAACGATTAAAAAATTATCATAAATCATTTTTTTAAATGGAAACCCACTTTTTTTTATTTCACTAGTGAAAAGGTTTTTTAATTCGTTACTTTTTGATCATACATGTTCCTATACCTAAAATAAATGGTTTTTAAGTTGTTTAAGATTTAGTTTTAAAGCGTAATTTTTTCTTGATTTTAGCTAGCTTCCTTTGACATTAAGTGTCAAACCAGCAGACACTTTATTTCCTTCTGTCAAAAAACTAATTATTTGAATTCCGTATAGTATTATGAATGCTGCTCTATCTCGTATTTTAGTGATAGCTAGTGGCAATATGACATGGCCAGATATAGTTTTACATTGCGTGACGTTTAAAAGCTTAGGGTACCTATTGGTTAAAAAAAACAAAAAATATATCCTTTAAAACTAAATCTTAAATAACTTCAAAACCATCTATTTTAGGTATAGGAACATGTGTAATCAAAAAGTAACGAATTAAAAAACCTTTTCACTAGTGAAATAAAAAAAGTGGGTTTCCATTTAAAAAAATGATTTATGATAATTTTTTAATCGCTCAATTCTATGACAGCTGTGGCCATGATTATATGACATTCAAACAATTTAATTTTTGAAATAGATAGCCACGTTTTCTCTTTATGGCACAGTGGCTGTGGTAATCACTAAATTTGACGTTTAGGCTATACCCATATTTTTGACAGGCAGTTTTTTTCGTTCAAAAATTTTAAATATTTTTTTTTCTCAGAAACGATCAATGTTAGATATAGAGTGTTTAATATCAAAATGCATAAAATGTTTGTAAAATGCAAAGAATTTAAGTATGTAATAAAAAATGGGGGCACCCATTTAAAATAAGAAAGTTGCTGTCAACTTCCGGTATTTCCGGAAGTGCCGCCATATTGAAAATATTTTTGATCGATAGATCTCGTTGTGAAACTATGATGTGCAAGAAATCTCCGAGCTAGATGTTGTAGTTCTCTAGAAACTTCTAATGCACGCTCAGCCTGGGATACCCTGTATGTTCCTGGATAGTTCATCTGTGCGTCGATTAATATAAAATCACCACTTGACAGACAGAGAGACAAAATAAAAAATGGCATACAGTGTTGCCGGTTTTTACGTGTGTAGGGAAATATGGTAGAAAAAAAATTATTTTAAAAAACTTTCATGTATACTACTGAAATAAAGATAATATATCTAAGCTAAACATAATCTATTACAGCTGTAGTAAAATGAGCAACTAATAGTTAAAAATAAAGTTTCAACCCTAGATGCAACATTTATCATAGACGCCTACTTGTGCGGTTTGTAATTTCATGCAAAATCCAGCAATACCGCATAGGAGAAATATATCAACCCAACTTTTATCTCATTTTAATACATTGGATTTGTCATTAACCTGTCTACAGTAACCTACATTACATGTCTACAATCCAGACCACGCAGTTTCGATAGTTCCGAAAGTGTAATTTTACTAATAAATATGCATAATCTGCATTTTAAATCCATTCTAAATGCACTTTAGTTTGAACTTTTCGTTTAACCACACCAGTTTTAAACTCCGTAACCTCTTTTTAGGTGTTAATTGCGAAGGTATTATGTTAATAAAGAACGACGACAAGTTTATATTGAACGAGTTCCGATATCAAGACGTTGAAAGCATTTTGTTGGATCCCAGCGACAGTTTTATCACTCTGACTCTTCAGAGAACGGTAGGGGAGAATAATCATAAGTGTTACGTGTTCGAGACCAAGCAGAAAAACGAAATTGGGTCCTTGATAGCCAGCTACTACCCTGCATTAGCCGGATGGATGACTGAGAATGAGGCTCCGCAAAAAAGAGTCAAGAGTAAGTCTTTGATTTTTGTGACGGTGGGAAATAAGTTGAAAAACCTGGTTCGAACCTAGATGACCGATATATATTTTTTATTGAATGGTTCAGTGTTTTTTAAATACACTGAGAAATAATTTCCTTATAATATTTCTATAGCTAATAGTTTCTGTGTCGTTTTATTTTTAATTAACTTAAATAATTAAACTGGCCACTCCCTTGCAAGAGACTAGACTGGGAGGTAGGTATGCTTGTTTGAAAAAAATTGTTAGCAAGTTCCAAGACATAAATTCTATTCCAACTCTATTTTAACCTTTGCGAGAAACTTTGCTAACTCTGTTAACTGCATATTATTTTAGCCATCGACCTAAACACATTGGAAGTTACCCAAGTTATGAATATCACTTTCTTCGTGTTTGGCTTCCGCGGTTACCAAATATGGTCCAGGCCCTTATACGAGTTAGAAGCGACCACTATCGCACTTAAAACAACTTCTAGGGGGCCAATTGACCCCTCTGAATAAGCTGACATGATTATTAATGTAATAATTCTAGGTTCAGGAAAGCAATATGCGGGAAAACCAATATGGGGAAGAAAGCTAATTATATGCGATGAAAATTATCTCATACTTATCCCTTAATCTTTATCACGAAATATCTCACTTATTTATTCTTCTCCATTCACTAGATTTTTCAAAAACGATAAATTTAAGCAAATGTCAGAAACTAAACTATATCAAATGATGATATAAAAATAACATCTATAAGGGTCGTGGTTGCGACACGAACAAGTTTTGCCTTAGATTTAAAAAGGCAGTCAATGTTAAAATCTTCCCCGACCAGTATTAAATCACGTTTAGGGTAAAAAATACTGCATTTTCAACTTTTTGCCTATGTGAAGAGAATTTTTGTAATTTGCTACCATGACAGTTGTCGCATGACATACGTCAAAACGATTTTTTTTATTATTGAACATGCTGTAGTAATTCCCCATAATATACATACTTTATTTCAATATACATCAATAATGAAATATATCTCATTTGTTGCAAACTTTTGGGTACATCCTGTATAAGCAAAGAGGATATCAATTGTGTATTATTTATTAATTAACATAATTATTTCAGGTATAACAAACGAAGATCGTGTCAGACTTTACCACAATCTTGTGAACTGTAGAAGAGCTCTTGTAGATCACGATATTCTCAGAAAACCTACCGATTCTTCCGGAAGTTTTCTGAGAAATACTTTGAGACGGTTAAGTAAACACAAACTGGATAAACTTAGACAAGAACATGGAGGTAACTCTTATCTATTTTATGTTTTGTATATGTTTTATCATTTATTTATTTTAGGAGATACTGGCGAGACTTACAAAGGTTTTCATTATGCGTTCTGGGCCTTTAGTAAACAACCCTTACTACAAAGTATAAGTAGAATACCTGAAGCAGAAGAACAAACTATGCTTCAAGTATTTCAGATTATTTTGACTTATGCAGGATTAGGACAAAACGGTATTATATATTTTTAGAAATATGTGGTAAAAAATAATAACTGATCAAAATCACTAATCAAAATCCAAAGATAGTTTTTAGTGGCACTTTACTTTAACATAATGTTACCGATTTCGTTTTTCCTTATAGACTTGGTGCATTTCAGTTGATTTCGACAAATTCCGACCGCAGCGCATCAGCGGCATAAATCAGAAATTATCAGTATACAGGGTGTTTCAAAAAACATGTTCCATCTCTCGTGGTGATATTCCTCACGTAAAAATAAGATTTATTTTTCATATCAACGTAGGTCCGATTCTGCTTTGTTTCGTAGCTATAGGGTTTTAAAGTCTTAATATTTTTGCGATTTATTATAAGTTTCTTCCAAGTACTTTTAGTGTTTCGAATAAAATTTTGAGGGTAAAACTATAAATGCGACATATTTTAAAGCTAAAAAAGTGTCGACATATTCACCAGGGACGTGCATATAGGTTATCACTTCAATATTTTTCTAAAAAAAGCATGTACGCCACTGACTTTTTTTTCTCTTGTTAGCGAAATAATGTAAGCAGTTTAATGCCTATTAAAAGTTGTCTCTCGATATTTTCTCTATTTCGGGCTCTTTGATGAGATAAACGCTTTTGAAAAGAAAAAAATGATTTTATTAATTTGCCTTGATCCAAGTCTAATAGCAACCTTTAAAAAAAATTAATATCATTAAGTTTTGATCAATAGCAAAAATGAATTCAAGCAGTTCGACGAAACAAGTGAGTATACAAAGTGCTCGTTACATAATCAAAAAATTAAATAGACGTATACTTTTTTTAATCAACTAGTGATTAAATGTTTTATGAACATCTTCTAAAATTATAATTATGATACCTTTAAAAAATTTCGTTATAGCCAAAATAGCCCCATTTATGCCCCACTAGCAAAACCGGTGATTAAAACTATGCTCGCTACCTTAGTTGAACTCACCTAAATTTTTTTTAACTGGAATATAAAATTATAATACAAGTTAGACCTTCTGAAGATATCAAAATTTTTACTTTTTTATTTTTATTTTTGAATTTTCACAAATTATACTTCCTAACACTTTTAGAATAATTAAATAATAAATTTTTCGTATACTATTTATACCCGTGTATTTGTATATGCTAGTTTTTTAGGATATTTTCCGATGGTGGCAGCACCGGCGGAGAATGCACCAAGCCTATATGTATAACATAAACACTCGTTAACGTTAGTAATTTTTTAAACAACTAAAAACTACCACACACTAAATAACACCACAAAAATCTCCAATTGATGGCTTGCGCCTTTACCATTTATTAGTGAAGGTGCAAAAGACATTAAAAATAATTGTTTGTAAGTTGAATAAATTGGTATTCAAGTAAAGTGCCAGTGAAAAATCTCAAAGGCTTAAAATATTTTTCATATGATTTGTCGTTCTATAGGTGAGGTCATTAGAAGAGTTGAAGACGAGCATGTGACACTCCTCCAGACGATTTTGGAGAGATGCATGAGAAAAGATTCTCTTCTTTGCGAGCTATATCTCCAGTTGATCAAACAAACTACAGATCACCCGGATCCAAATTCAAGGGTGAATTTGCGACACTGGGCTTTACTATCTCTGGCCTGTTCTGTTGTCCTGCCTCCTAATAAAGTGATCCGGCGATATTTGATATCTCACCTTAAAAGGTAGGTTAGAGTGGTGCAATATAAATTTTATCCTGCGGGAAACGACGATTTCTACAGACGAAATCTAAAAAATTACAAATATATTAAATCATCACACATAAACCGGACGGATAGGTTTGTTTTAATGGTTTATTTTGTTTTCCGGGTGACGGCCGATACACGGACTGAAGGATGTGTGTGTCCAGTAGAATTTCCAACCATGATTGATTTTCTGTATAGTTCTATTATACTTATAGCAATTTTGAGAATTTCCTGACATTCTTCCATGTTCAATTAATGGGTGTATTCTTGTTTAGACCTTCCGCGAAGCCTCTAAAAGTTTCTTTTCTAGTTTGTCTCATTATTTTTCTACCAATTGCCGCCTTTCTTTTGTGGTCCAAAAAATTATAATTGCTATTATCCGCCTTATATATTTTGACGGCTTGGTTTCATTCTGTAACAGCAGATTCGCAAGCATTTTAATTTAGTTGTTTTTTTTGAATTTGAATTTGCTAACTATCAAATTACGGATAGTTATTGTTTTTTCGATAAATATGGATAATTTTGAACTTACCTACTGTTATTCGATATATCAAGAACTATCGGTAGTTATCTATATATCGGAAATAATCTATTCCCTATTGTTATTCGATATATCGATAACTATCGATGGTTATCGATATATCGGAAAAAATCCCATGCCATCGCAAAATAAAATACTAGTTTACACAGCACACGAAGTTCAGTGTTAAAAGTAAAGCGTTTTGTTGTATTGTGGTGAACTAGTGTTAATAGTCAACACCAACGGTAATCAAAAAAACTTCATAAAGCATAATTTGTTAATATATAATTTTTATTTATTTGTAGCCAATGCAAGTTAAAAAATTAGCTCAATTATTGTTTTTTTAATTCAGTTGTTGAAGTTTAAATTAAAATTGCTATCTTTTTTTATTACATGATTATAACCTAATATTACATTACCATAATTTATTAATTCCTGATTCCTATTTATTTGTGACTAACTGATAAAATTTAAGTTGAATTTATAGTAACTGGTTTTGAGAACACGTCTTTTTTAGACTGTTTTTGTCTTATTATAGTGGTAATATTATTTATTGATTTTTTTAAATACACTTAGATGCAAAAAAAACGCAACAGAAAAATCTTTTGTTAACTTGTCTTTGTTCGGTAAGAGACTCTGCTGACCTGTCCCGAAGATAAACCACAATTCTTCTTCTTGTTGTTGTGTCCACCATTCCCAACATCCACACTTGTGGCACAATTCGTCCAACATTATATTTTCTTTTGGTAACTACAGTTTCATCAATCCACACTATGTGTCCCACACCACCCAGATGGAAGAATTCTGGTACTTGCAGTAGCTTCCATGAAACTACATCCCGAATAAATCGGTACACTTGGCATACCGTTGATGGCCTCTTATCCAATAAACTTGCTGCCACGTTTGGAGGGACCAGGCAGGCCCAGAAAAACAGGAAATATACCACTTGTGACACTGGTATGTGCATATTTTCGAAAAATGAGCCTTTCAACACACTATACTGTTGCCGGCACCTTTGACAATGAAATGCATGGCCCATGGTGACTCCATTGCGGCTGATCAAAACACAATACCTCCGGCAATTGCGATTTTGGCATCGATAATTTTGACGAATGAGGCCCATTTGTTGGATATCTTCTAGAATTCTTCTATCGCCTCTATCACGATTGAAGATCCGAAAGACATTTTCAATTGATGTTATATATTATCTATGATAAAAAAACAAGAAATAAACACACAGAAAAAACAGTAAACCACGAGAAAGCTACTACACACAACAGATCAAATGGCAATGGCGGCTGGCGGCTTTGCCGCTTTGACGGCACTTAACGCTTCGTCCTTCTCGCTGTCTCTTCGCCAAATCATATGCGCGAATGCGCTGTCGTCTGTGCAAACCATAATTCCTACGCTAATTGTGCCTAATGACAAAACTTCATTGATTACGCGTCGAAAAATAGTATATATTTGAAAAACTTATATTTTCGTAGAATCTGAAAAATCCGCAAATTTTATTTCAGAAATTGCTTTAAAATAATCCACACTAACGAATAAAGTGTTATATTTTTTATTTTTAGACCAGTTTTCATTGTTTTTTTGGAAAACTCTATATAAATTCATATATTTATAATAAAGTAACCATATTGACACCAAACTGCATTCTGGGAAGCCGAGCCGGTGAAATAGGTATATAAATCTTCTGAAGGAATTTGCATAAGCCGTCAGTTAAGCTTACTTAAGCGTAGTGCGCAGGGTATATGATATAAATATATCAACTTTGATTCCTAACCTCAGTTTTTTATAAAATTTAGTATTGGGCTTTATTATACAGGGTTTATCGAATGGTTGTTTTTTACCTTAAATTTAAAACACCCTGTGCAATAATTTCGTGAACAAATTTTCTTAAAACATTATTTTTCTGTCAGAACCACGTCTGCTGGACATTTTTTTTGGATCGTGTCAATACATGCCTTGGTTAATTTTTAAGAGCGAAATGAACTTGCCACCAACAATTTGCAATTTTTTTAATTATCATCTTTTTTTGAAGTTATTTTTCAACATGACAAGGCGGCTTTGTTGGTTACTGTGAACTATATACTACTATGTACTATCATGTTTAACGTTTGGGAAATGCTTGGCAGGACGGTTAGAGGTCGCAAAGCAGTACCAGCCTCATTAAATGAGCTGAGGTCCTTAAAGAAGAATGGGAAAACATAAGCAATATGATATATGCAGCCTCTGTGAGAGTATACTGGAAGTTATAGCAGCTAAAAGAGGCAATACAAAGTATTAGGGTAGTTTTTACAAGTTTCGTTTTCTGTTTGTATACCTGAGTATTACAGATGTTTTCTTTAATATTGATAGTTCTGTTATCGTTATTAATGTTTATTAAAACCAGGACTGTATCATTACTCTTTAACTGTGTTTTTTAATTTAGTATAGAGTATCTGATGCAGTATGACGCAATATGACGTTACGACAATAATTACCAAAGCCACCTCGTCATATTGAAAAATAACATCAAAAAGTAATGATAATTGAAAAAATTGCAAATTGTTGGTGGCAAGTTCATTTCGCCTTAAAAATTAACCGAGGCATGTGATATGAGACAAAGATTAAAATGCTCCGAAGACATGGTTCTAAGAAAAAAATAATATTTTAGGAAAATTTGCTCACGAAATTATTGCACAGTGTGTTTTAAAGTTAAGGTAAAAAAATAGCATTCGATAAACCTTGTATAATAAAGCCCAACTAAAGTTTATACAAAACTGAGGTTTAAGAATTAAAGTTGATATACTTATAAACAGTTTGCCAAAAAAAAATGAAAATTGGGCTAAAAATAAAAAAAATATGTCACTTTGAATTTGTTCAAAAAAATTTCCGTTGCGCTTTTTTGCATCTGAGTGTATATATTGTCTCTAAGAAAATTAAAGTCAAATAATTTTATATTTTACACTTTGTTTTCTTGTTCTGTTGATAAGCAATAAATTTATTTGATGGCCCCTAACCATGATATGATAATTACTTCATTCTATAACAAGTCGGCAGGTAAGTAGTGTGGAATTTTAATAGGGTACTGTTGTTTACTGTAAACTAACTGTAAACCCCGTTATCAAAACGCTAGTATCGTTCAAATTGGCGGAATATTAGAGAGTGACTAATGTATATCTTTTTCTTTATCTATACTTTAACTCATAACTGTTGTATTTTTTAGATGTAGTTCGGACTACGTGACCGAAGAGGGAAAATATGCGCGATTTGCTGAAAAATGCCTGCTCAAAACTCAGGGCACCAGACGAAGACAGTGGCCGCCATCTAGAGAAGAGATTCTCTGCACCATTAACCGCAGACCGGTATATGCTCGGTTCCATTTCATGGACGGCCAGTACCATAGCGTAGAGTTCCATCCTTCTGCCACTGCCAAAGATGTCTGGGAAGTAGTAAGGGATAAGATAGGGCTCAGTCCAGAGGCCAAAGGTGAGTTGAGAAGTGTTTTATTTGGTAATTTCGCTAATAAAAATGTATTAGATCAGTCTGCGTACCCATACAAAATATGGTATTTTTCAAATAGGTATCTTATAGAAAATGATATTAATGTTATGTTGTGCACATTAACTGTGTGCACATGTTACTTGATAATTCCTTAAAATTGTTTCTTAAATGCAATGTGTTAAGACTGTTAAGAAATGTTTAGCTAGACATGCCGATCAGTATCCTATTTCAATTACCATTTCAGGTTATGCCATATATGAAGTTCTCGGAAACTCCGAGCGCAGTCTAGCGGCAGAAGAAAAAGTAGCTGATGTCATGGCCAAATGGGAACGCTACAGAGCTGCATCGACGGCCAATGCCACCAACACTGGCACTTCTAAGAAAGTGAGACCTCAGCATCACTTTTTCCTCTTCAAGAAGCACTTGTTCATGGACAACTACATTAACCTAAACGATACAGTGGAGAAGGAGTTATTGTACCACCAGGTACTGCATGATTTGAGAACAGATAGGTTCCCTATTACAGACAAAGAGGCGGTAAGTTGTACTGCAGTGTCTCCATCCTTAGTTAAAATATAAAAAAAATACTGTGTAAAAGTGATTTTCTTTTTTTTTTAATTGATTTTGTTTTTCAGATGATGCTGACAGCTCTTCAAGCTCAGTTAGAACTTGGAGACATCGACGAAACTATCCACGATTACCGACCGATAGCCTGTCACTGTTTACCCGCGAGGATGGTGCCCACCATTCCTCAAGATGGCGTTCAGATGCATCATCAAAGTCTGAGGGGCATGACGGCATCTGAAGCGAAGCAGGCATTCCTTAATTTGATACAGAGTTGGCCTTTGCACAAAGCCACTATTTTTGACGTTATGGTTAGTTATACATACTGTTACGAATGCCGTGGGTCCTTATATAATTAAATAGTCGACAATACAAAACTATATTAATAAAACCGCAATTTTCCAATATCGACTAAAAATTTCGGTTCACTTCCAACCGTTTAATGTTGCGACTTCAGCATTTATTCAAAGACTAACACTTGTCCAAGTCAGGCGAGTCTTGGGACGACCCACCTTGGCCGCTTTTTATTATAGTCACTTCTAGTTGTTCTCGAAGTTATGTTTCCTTTCCAGCTATTTAGCTATTCGTCGGTGAAGTGTGATAAACTGCTAACTCCATTATTCATAATTTTAGACGAGAGAAGAGAAACGGTACAAAAAAATATGTGCACATGTAGCAAATATATTCATGCGTTAATATGATATAGAGATAACAGTAATCTTTGTTGGGGAACAATAAAACTTAATATTTCGTTAAAAATTTTACGTAAAAATAATGTATTAAACGTATTATTTACTTAAAATCAAAAATGGAAGCAGGTTATCACGTTTCACTGACGTATTGGATATATTCAATTCCACTCAGCTTATCCCAAAGATAGCGCCTATACGCTTTGTTTACAAAAACTTTTCTGGTGGTTGTTCGCCTAGACTCGCATTCCTTGAGTGTTTCAGTTTCTAGCCAAAAGATGTTCATTTAACATCACTGTTGGTAGATACTTTTGCCGGCCCAGCTGGAAGAAAGGTTAGAAAGAGTCACTTTAATAGAGAGAGAAGTGCGAGAACGACTTGACAACATCATCATCAAATTTTACCAAAAGTTAAAACGTTTAGGACACATATTCATATTGATGGTCTGGTTCACTCTATTACAACACTATGTATATTAGGGGGCCGAAAAAATTATTTTTCGAAACCTAAAAAAATGTTAGAACATCAAGTGGATTTTTTTTGGAATTTAAAAATAAAATTCAGCGGGGCCCCGGGGGGGGGGGGGTAAAAAAATTAGGTTTGATTTTGTTTTTGGATTAGCAAAAATCTAATGAATTAAAGCTCCCTCATTACAGGAAAAAAGTTGGTGAAAATAATTTATTATTTAGCCGCGCCCCTGGTACCCGAATCATGCTAGCTGCGTAACGCGCTTTGTTTATGCCGTTTATGATATGAGCGAATGATTTCAGCACGGAGCCGCCTAAATGAAAAATAGCTAAACTGGTTGCGAAACATGCTTCACTCCCAACGGGTAGTACCAAACGCGTCATAGCAATGTTATCAGCTTATCATAAAAAATATCGCAATCTAAGAAAATTCTTAAAAACACAAAAATCTCCAGCTCTTCTAAAAAAGTCGAAAATTTCAAATTGAAATTGAAAAAGCTTTTCGATATATTTTCATGTAAATGCAGTAGTTTCGATTCTTGTAAGTATGAAGAAAATTACAAAGTGCCTTTGTTAGAACAGGAATTTTTGCAGGACCAAGGTTAGGTTAGGTTAGGTTGCTGGGGTTTGGGATCATATTTGATCCCTCACTCGGAGGCCTTGGGCCCATTGCGATACCCCTGTATTGTTTTACCAAACCTTCCTCTCATTCTTTCTTTGCGTTAAAGCACTTCCAGCTCTTTGCAAAGTTCCCGATGTCGCTGATGTTGGCTTCTGCTGCTTCCTCTAGTCCCTCAAAAAACCTTGCCCTAAAGTTTTAATGCGTCGGTATTCCAGTGCCGGACAGTGGCACAGCAGGTGCTCTATGGTTTCTTCTTCCTCTCCGCATTCTCTGCAGTAGTCGTCGTCGGAAACTTTCCATCTTACGAGGTTTACCCCCGTGGAACAGTTTCCAGTGACGACACCTACAATTATGCGTACTAGGTCCTTTTTATGCTCTAGTAGCTGTTTTGTCTTTTTGCTATCTACCACTGGCCATAGTCTTCGAGCTGTAGCACAGTCCTCACGGTGTTGCCACGTCTCTTGCTGCTTGGCCTTGATGGCAGTTCCTATAGCCTCCTTCAGTGTGTTGATCGTCAAAAGTGGTGGGTCATCTGCCACGGCCTCTCCCCTGGCCCCGTCTTTGGCGAGTCTGTCTGCTTCCTGATTGCCCACCACATTGCTGTGGCCTGGCACCCAGCACAGAGTAGCCCCACCCCGACGCAGCCAGGACAGTGCTTCTCGGCATTCCATCACAGTTTTCGATCTCACTGATTGCATGGTGATGCTTCTTAATGCGGGCAAGCTGTCAGAGTATATCACTATATCCCCTATTGGTCTATCAGCAATTTTCTCTCGTATACAACTAGCCGCTTCCTTTATGGCGTAAACCTCTGCTTGTAGAACATTACAGCCATCCGATAGCCTCAAAGATCGTCGGATGTCTAGTTTCTCTGAGAAGATGCCCACACCTGTGCCCCCTGAATTTGCGGAAGCATCTGTGTAGACTGCTATCTCTTGAGTGTTCATTACTCGGTTGCTTTCCCATTCTTCTCTTGTCGGAATGCGAATTCTTATCTTTTCTCCAAAATCATGTTTGGTGAGCATATAGTCCGTTTTCTGGTCTAGCAGGACCAAAGGAACGACAGAAAAATGCAAAGAGCTGGGGTAGATAAGGTAACTACTCAAAAAAAAATAGAAAAAGGGAAGAAAGGCTTGTTAAACTTTCAGTGCCTTCTACAAAGAATATTATAGTTTTAAGAACTCTCGTGTGGAAGCCTTAGTGATTTGTCACACGGTGGCTCTTTTGAACATAATCGAAGGCTGAAAATGCTAATATTTTAAATTTTGAGGACTACGCGCGGCGATATTTCGTACGGTGTTGCCAAAACATATTTTATTTCTCGATTTTTAAAGAAATATGTATTGATTATATATTTCGTATTCGTTAGTACATGAGGCATCCTAAGGCTATGAAAAAAAACGTAGTTATGAAAATAACATTTTAGATTTTTAATTTGTTTGTACCTTCTAATAAAAATTACTTCTATTCCAATAAAAAATTAACTAGTATGATTATGTGTTATCTGTGCTAGTATTAGGAAACTGGAGTAAATACGGAGAATATTAATTCGTAAGATGAGCACTACAAAGTAATTTTTTAAAATTTGACCCATAAAGGGTGTAATTAGATAAAGGGGTGTAATTATACAAAAAAAATCTGTACCTACTAGGAGTATGAACTTTTGCACAGATGTGGCGCATTTGAACATTGATAAGCGATTTTTGGAAATGTATAGCCTAAGGGTAGTGAAACTGGGGGGTGAAATTTTGTGCAAAAAATGTTAGTTCTAGGAGTATGAAATTTTATACAGAGTTTCCTTAAGTGACGAAAGTGAGTACCTAGAAGCTAATTTTTGACATTCATCCCCTAGAAATAAGGGATGAAAATTTGTACAAAAGTTTGTTACAATCGGTTTTAGAAGTATGAAATTCTGCACACACGTTCCTTATGTAACGTAATTTAGCACTAAGTAGCACTTTTTGGAAATTCGCCCGTGTGAAGGGTGTGAAATGAGGGGTGAACGTTCTGAAACAATTCTGTTGAAGGAATATGAAAATTTGCACAGAGGTTCCTTATGTAGCGTAACTGAATAATTAGAGTGACTTTTGGAATTCATTCCTTAAGGGGGTAAAACTAGGGGTGAAGATTTGTATAATTTTTTATGTAAAATCCGTTCTAGAACTAGGAGTATGAAATTCTGTTCAGAGGTCCCTTAAATGATGAAAGTGAGTACCTAGAAGCGAATTTTAGGCATGCATCCCCTAAAAAATAAGGGATGAAAATTTGTACAAAAGTTTGTTACAATCGGTTTTAGAAGTATGAAATTCTGCACACACGTTCCTTATGTATCGTAATTTAGCACTGAGTAGCACTTTTTGGAAATTCGCCCTCTAAGGGTGTGAAATGAGGGGTGAACGTTCTGAAACAATTCTGTTGAAGGAATATGAAAATTTGCACAGAGGTTCCTTATGTAGCGTAACTGAATAATTAGAGTGATTTTTAGAATTCATTCCTTAAGGGAGTAAAACTAGGGGTGAAAATTTGTATAATTTTTTATGTAAAATCCGTTCTAGAACTAGGAGTATGAAATTCTGTTCAGAGGTCCCTTAAATGATGAAAGTGAGTACCTAGAAGCGAATTTTAGGCATGCATCCCCCAAAAAATAAGGGATGAAAATTTGTACAAAAATTTGTTAAAATCGGTTTTAGAAGTATGAATTTTGCAGACGTTCCTTATGTAACGTAATTTAGCACTAGGAAGCAATTTTTGGAAATTCGCCCTCTAAGGGTGTGAAATGAGGGGTTTGAACGTTTTGGAACAATAAATTCTGTTCAAGGAATATAGGAATTTGCACAGAAGTTTATTATGTAGCGTAATTGAATAATTAGAGCGATTTTTGGAATTCATTCAGGAAATAAAACTAAGGGTAAAAATTTGTATAATTTTTATGTAAAATCCGTTCTAGGACTAGGAGTATACAATTTTGTACAGAGGTCCCTTAAGTGATGAAAGTGAGTACCCAGAAGAAAATTTTGGACACCCAAAAAAATAAGCACTCCCTATAAAACAATTAAAATAAAAAAATTTCTCTAAAAAATAAAAAAAAAAGTTGGGGTGGACCACTCTTATCACTTAGGGGTATAACAAATATATAACAACCTAGGAATAGGTTGTGACCAAACCAAACCAAACCAGACCTACTGATATACATATAAAATTTTATCAAAATCGGTCTAGCCGTTTCGGAGATGGTTAACAAAAAATTAAAATATAACAACCCCTATTAAAAAATAGGGGATGATGGTGGAACGGTGAAAATTTAGGGTTATTTGTATTTTTTAATGCCAACTAAAAAAATAAAAACATTTTTTTCTTTTCAAAAAATAAAAAATGAGGGTGGGCTACCCTCTCGGCTACCCTTACCACATAAGGGTATAAAAAATAGATAACAACCTATTCTTAGACGTACTGAATATACATATAAAATTTTATCAAAATCGGTCAAGCCGTTTCGGGGATGGCAACAAAAAATTTAAAAAAACAACGGGTCTTGTGCAGAACAGGTCCCCACGAAATCGTGTTTTTTTTAATTTTTAATGTGGATCCCATAGTTAATGGAATGGTTTAAAAGAAAAAAATTGTTGGATGAACCACTTTTTCTACGAAAAAAAATAATTGAAAATTCCAAATTTTCACTACATTTCAATGCGAAAACTCCCTATTATAACCTTCATAAAGACAGTAAAATACAAGGTTATGCACAGTGTTGCCATACTCACCCTGTGTAAAATCGACGAAAACGTTCTACTTTATATTCATTTTTTTTACATTTAGTACGCACTTTAAGAACACGAAAAATTAAAAATATAATAAACGAGGCAAAAACAAAAACACTATAAAAATAAATTGACAATAAAATCATTACACAGTATTTAGCACAATTGTTTAAAAATATATTTTTCCCGGATTTGTTCAGTAAGATTCCGAAATCGATGTGATCTGCGTACTTCCAAACACTCCCCACCAACCTAACCTAACCAATGCATTAACACCCCCAAATAACCAGGCTAACCAATGCATTAACACCCTCCAAATAACCAGACTAACCAATGCATTACCACCCTCCAAATAACCAGAATATCTAACCTAACCTAACCAATGCATTAACACCCCCAAATAACCAGGCTAACCAATGCATTAACACCCTCCAAATCACCAGGCTAACCAATGCATTAACACCCTCCAAATAATCAGGCTAACCAATGCATTACCACCCTCCAAATAACCAGCCTATCTAACCTAACCTAACCAATGCATTAACACCCCCAAATAACCAGGCTAACCAATGCATTAACACCCTCCAAATAACCATGCTAACCAATGCATTACCACCCTCCAAATAACCAGGCTAACCAATGCATTAACACCCCCAAATAACCAGGCTAACCAATGCATTAACACCCTCCAAATAACCAGGCTAACCAATGCATTACCACCCTCCAAATAACCAGGCTAACCATTGCATTAACACCCTCCAAATAACCAGGCTAACCAATGCATTACCACCTTCCAAATAACCAGGCTAACCTAATTGAGCCTAATGACAAAACTTCATTGATTACGCGTCGAAAAACAGTATATATTAAAAAAACTTATATTTTCGTAGAACCTGAAAAATCCGCAAATTTTATTTCAGAAATTGCTTTAAAATAATCCACACTAACGAATAAGCTACTAGACAGTTCAATTTTTGTTGCACTAAAGTGATAACTTACCGTTTTAAGTCCCTCCACAACAACTTTATTTCAGAAGAAAATCATATAAAGTAATTTTATTGACAACGTCGCAAATTCTATGCGAAGGCCATAGATGACATACCGATGATCGATTAACTGTCAATCGAAAAAGTCATAAAATTGCTAGCTTGAGCTGATGTAAATAAATATATTTTCTTAATTTTTATGCTTACAAAGAAGATTCGTTACATTTTTGTGCTTAAATTAGATCATTCCACGTCTATATAAGGTAATAAAGTACTAATATGTGATGTTTTTACTGAATCCGTGTAGAAAATTTAACATATTTACTGTCCGTCGCCTGTACCTAAAATACGTTTTTTGCCGCTTTTTAAAGATAAAACACATTCATCCAACAATTTTTATGCTTAAAAATATTCAGTTTAAGATAATCTTGCAAAAAAATCCCAAAAAAGTGTTAAATGCGTGGGGACCTATTGTGCACCAGAGCCAAAAACAACCCCTATTAAAAAATAGGGGGATGATGGTAGAACGGTGAAAATTTTGGGTTCTTTGTATTTTTTAATGCAAATTAAAAAAACAAAAATATATTTTTTTTCAAAATATAAAAAAATGGGAATGGGCTACCCTTATCACTTAAGGGTATAAAAAATAGATAACAAACTATTTTCAGACCTACTCAATATACATAATAAAATTTCATCAAAATCGGCCAAGCCGTTTCGGAGATCGTAACAAAAAAACAACCCCTATTAGAAAATAGGGGATGATGGTAGAACGGTGAAAATTTAGAGTTTTTTGTATTTTTTAAGGCCAAATAAAAAAAATATTTTTTTTCCAAAAATAAAAAAATGAGGGTGGGCTACCCTCTCGGCTACCCTTATCACTTAAGGGTATAAGAATAGATAACAACCTATTCTTAGACGTACTGAATATACATATAAAATTTTATCAAAATCGGTCAAGCCGTTTCGGAGATGGTAACAAAAAATTAAAAAAACAACCCCTATTAAAAAATAGGGGATGAAGGTAGAACGGTGAAAATTTAGTGTTGTTTGTATTTTTTAATGCCAAATAAAAAAAAATAATTTTTTTTCGCAAAATAAAAAAATGGGGGTGGACTACCCTTATCACTTAAGGGTATAAAAATATATAACTGCCTATTCTCAGACCTACTGAATATATATAAAATATATAATATAAAATTTCATCAAAATCGGTTAAGCCGTTTCGGCGGAGTTCGGAGTTCGGTAACCAAAACTATAACACTGGAATTATATAAGATAATATTATATGTAAACTGGCGGAATGCGGAGAACGGAAAGACTGATTATAGCAATAGATAAAATTTAAAACTATAATTTAAAACTATTCAAGAAAGTACACACAAAACAAGGCAACGCCGCGCGTCTATTCGTTCAATTCCGAGCAAAATAGCGAGACGAGACTTCTAGGGTATTAAGATATTCTTTGCCTTCTACCAGTAGTCACAAGTCCGATTTGACCTCATCTGATGAAAATGCGAACGATACTTTGTCCAGTGAAGAAAATTTGGTTAAAGATCAATATTTTAAGTGGTCATATTCCTTACAAAAATTACAACCCAAGGAAAAAAATTAAAAAATATCTAACCAACTTCGAATTCCATTGCCTAAAATTGCCCAAATAGACTGGTGCATCAAACAGAACATTGATTTTGGACTTATTTCATCCGATAAGCCCGTAAACGTTGTTGATAAAAATAAGATCCGGCGTGAACTACAAAAAAGAGAAAATACGTGCAAGAAAGAGCAACCGAAGAAAGAAGAGATATTAAAGCTACCATATGATCGAAAAAAAAACGGCGTCCAGTTGGCTGGGAAATGACAATTGATGACATTTCCTATGTAAATTTACATATAAATTGACAGCGATCTTTATTTCATAGCCTTTTTATTCTCGATTCTGACGCCGTTTTTTCTCGATCATACGGTATTTACTTTGACGGCAGAAAGGATCAAACAATGACGCAAATAGAAGGTCGCCGGATTATTAAACAAGAAGAACACATAGCTTTGATAGAGAGCCAGAAGGAAAATATTTTGGTCACTTATCGATAAATTCGCCAGTTACTGCCTTAAACATAGCCAATAGTATATTGAATGAACGAAAATGCTGTTAACCCAAAAAATCTCAAAGCCATAGGTTGTGATGGCACCAACGTGAACAGTGGTTGGAAAAACGGAGTAATAAGAATTATTGAAGGTCAAATTGGAAAACCACTTCTGTGGGTAATTTGTTTGCTTCACTCTATTGAAGTGCCCTTACGTCACCTGCTCCAACACCTTGATGGACAAACGAAAGGACCAAACTCGTTTTCGGGTCCAATTGGTTCATTGCTGGCATCGTGTAACACCAAACCCATACAAAAGTTCCAGACAAAGATTTAAGCACAGATCAACAATATCTACATATATCAAATCTATTGTGCAATTACATGTCAAATCGACATGCAGCCACCTCCCCGTGGTGAGTTATGGGTTGACTAAATAATTTATTAAAATACAGTTTGGTTGTGTCACAAGTAATAATTATTTCTGTCAAGCAAAGAGCTGAAATTTAAATTTTGTTCCTTGGGGTGCCTCAAAACCTTGCAAAGAAATAAAATAATTATTCTAAAGTACTAGGAGCGCGGCTAAATATTAAAATATTATTTCCAACTTTTTTCCTCAATATAAGTAAGGTAGTATATTTCACTTTTACACTATTCCAGATCAAAATATTGTGGTTGAAAAAAAAATTTTTTTAGTGCCCCTGGGGCGAGGCTAAACTTTTTTTGAAAATTCTGAAAAAAAATTGCCTTAATCGTTTACCCATCCTACCACTTTTTTTTACTATGCCAACTCAGATTTCCACAAAAAAATTTTTTTGCGTTTTTCGAACCACCCTAATGTATATGTGCCGCTTTACGTTTAATATATCATTTCCTCCTCTTTTCAGCAATCTTTCACCTCAAACTGGCCCAGGGTTCTTTGGTTAGCCGTTGACCAAAAAGGTCTTCACCTTCTAGAACATAGATCCAGAAATACGCTGTGCACTTACGATTACAACAGCATAATGTCTTATTCTCCTGCACTAAACTGCCTCATGATCATCACCGGTAGCGATCACAAACAGAGCAAGGTCATCCTAACCACTGCTCAAGCGTTTCAAATAGCTACTCTCATCAGAGAATACATGGAGGTGCTTCACGAAAACATGGTAAGTTTCCTTAATATTGAGAAAGAAATATATCTTGGATTTTGGTAACTCGACCGGATTATTATGTCAAAATTTGAAAGTTCCCTAGATCATATATACTTACGTGGATAAGTAAATCACTATGAAAACTGTCGCAAACATATCAACGACTTCCATTTATTTTCTTTTTTTGTTGCCCACGCGGTGGTTCTATTCTATCTATCCTTGTCGACAACCTAGCGTCGACGCGCCAAATTTGAATATTAATTTTAAAAATTTAATTTGTAAAATGTTTATATTTGAACAATAAACTGAATATTTACTGCCACAAAAATTAATCTAACCAGATCTAGCCACCAAATCTAATCAGAAAGTATGCATGTGGCTTAATATAAGTAAAAGAACAACTGAATACTTTACTTGCCTATGAAAAGATAATTTGGGGACCTTTATATTAGAACTTTTACACACTAAACACTTTCTACTTTCTAGTCATTTTACGAGTATTTAGAAAGTCCAACGAAAAAAAAATAGAAATATAATTGCACAAACTTAAAATAATTAACTTCTCACTGAACACACTTGCATCCTTGGTAGAGATCTGCACGGGCCGGGTAGCCCGAACGGGCCTCAGGCCAGGCCGGGCCGGTTTCGCACTGTCAATAGGGGTCGGGCCTCGGGCCGGGCCGGTTCCGCACTTTAAATAAACACAACTTTGCTTCTGTACATGTCTTTGAGACTCCCTGTATTATAATAGGTGTTTTTAGGCTATGTTTATGTGAAATTGATAGATTGTCTGGAATCGACAAAGAACTAGTTGGAATAATTATAATTGAAAGGATTTTTGTAATTTTATTTTGATCATTTTATTTTAATGGTTTGGGCCGGGCCGGACTAGTTTAAGTTTTAACTTTTCACAAACTGGGCCGGGCTTACAAAACCTACTTCTCTTCTTGGGCCGGGCCGGGTCGGGCTACAAAAAACCGGCCCGTGCAGGTCACTAATCCTTGGCTATATAAAAGCGGTTGATAAAAGAGTAATTAATACAATTTTTAAAATAAAAAACCGAACCAAATCGCAACCCAACCAAAAACGCAAAAAACAAGCGTCGTTGCACAATGGAAATAAGATTAGGTCATAGATAAGTGAAACAAATTTAGATTGGAAAGTGCCCATAAGGACAATGTAAACACTATTTGGCGCTTATCTTGCAACAGTCGCGACCCAAAACTTTTAAAAATTTCGGAGCGGTTCGGCTTTTTCCGGAATTATATCGCCAAATATTGTTTATTCAAATTTATTATTATTTTCGTTTAATTTTATAAATAAAATACAATGTGTTGCATACAAGAAACTTTATTTTATATAAGGCTGAAATGTATGAAATACCTATGAAATATTGGAAACCGACGTTATGCCACGATCCACGATGGTTTTTGCAGTTCACAGTTCACAACACAGCTTTTTAAGTCTTTAATGCCGCTTTTTCACAATTATCACCGGTTGGAGTAAATAAAATTTGAATTAAACTCGCAAGATAGCAATATTACTTTGAAAATGGACGCTATAAACACTTTTCGGAATTTCTTTAATGAGAGCGGTTTAGATTTTGAAAGATTATTATGATTTTTGAAGATTCTGACTTTGACAAGAGAAAATTATTTCTGTTTTTGTTTGCCGTTGTTCTTAGCGACCGCTATAGCAGCGCCAGATCGCGTATAACGGTCGCGACCCAAAATAATTTCGCGACCTAAAATTTTTACGGGCTTTCGATTAGGTCATATATGATTATGTCAATATGATGACAATGAAAAGTTGGTTTCCATAACAATGTATAATTTGTACTTTCTAAACCGTACAAAATTGTGATTATTTTGGAAATACGTGCCACTTTTAATGCGCATGCGCAAAGTAAGGTCCTCGAGAAAGACGAACCTATTGAACGTTTCATAAGTGCAATAAAGAAGGTTTGAAAATGGCATTTCGTGATGTTGGAGACATATTTTTTAAAGCTAAATTTATGTCGTTGATTTATCCACGAAAGTATATATGATCTAGGGAAAGTTCTGTTTTTTTTGTTATTTCTAAAATTAGATTGTGATTATATAGAAAAAAAACCCTAAAACATTTGTAAATTAAATTTATAACTAAAACCAATATTTACGAAAATAGCTATTAACTAAAATATACATGACACCCTGTGCAAGATATTTTTTTCTGTTTTAGGTGGAATTAAGGAAAGTAGAACAGACTAGGAGCAGACCTGTGAGCGCTTTGCATGCGCATGCCCCGTTAGTACCACCTCAGCCAAGCTAGAAGAGGGTTACTTTCGCAGATGACGTCATAGGAACCAATTGCTACTGATCGCATAAATAAGTAGCGGAATTTCAGGTTTCTGGTAAATATTTCAGGACAAAAAGCTTCAAAATTCATAACTATTTATTGGTTTTGCATATAGCACTTTTCTGCAGTAAAGTCTATGTGATAAATTGAAAGAATAAATTGTTTGCATATTCAGTGATTACAACATTGAATAAAAAGACTAAGGAAGTAGCTTTTCAACAAAATTGGCGCGACCGCGGTGTTACTTTAGTATGGCTAACTTAAATTCTAGTTTATCAGTGGCGTTCTCATTTTATTTAAAACGTGTTAGAATGTAATATATTGTACATTCAATAATTTACTGGTAGATATAGGTTATATTTAACTATATTATTATATTATTTTACAACAGTCATTTACAAATAATAAATGGAAATACAATATGAGACAAAAAATGTCAGTGATGGCTATCAAATGAAAATCGCTGTTATTTTATTTGTAAAATTATATGGAGATGGTTATAGATGTTCATTTCCAAGCCAACTGGGCGCCGTTTTTTTTTGATCATACGGTAGTTGTTACTTCTAAAAAGTAACAGAACGTGTACCTTGAAAATGACTGGTGGCGCCACGCTATGAAATGTTATGCCACTCGAAACAGGTATAAATAAATCAGTTGTCTGAATCAGCGACATCGAGCAAGGGTTGAGATAACAACGCCGGGAATCAACTACTTTTTTCTTTTTTGCAACCAGTGAATGCTGCTTTTTTAGCTGTGTCAATCGATTGCCCTTAAGTGATGCTTGAGACAGTTCCAAAGAATAACATGTACGAATAAAGCAGTGATTTAACTAAGAAGCATTACGCAACGACCGATATAGCAGCGACAGGAAGCAACTGGTTTTTAAATTAATTATCTAAATTAATTTAAATTTTATCTTAATTATTTTTGACAACTAGTAAATAAATGCGAGAGTCATTATTAGGTAATTCTAAATCAACGTTTATTATTTGATTGACTGGTTTACTACTTAACATATATAATTACTTACTAGTAAAAAGTTGTCCAGTTATTTTTTCATGTTTTTTTTTTCTGGTAACTGTCACAAGTTGCACGAGTAACAAGTTCTGACACAATATCTTTCAATTCTTTTTTCTATTGGTACACTTTGTATAAAACAAATTATAAAATAAACAACAAATATCAAAATAAATTTAGAAAGGGCCAGCAAATTCGCTAAAATTCAAATCAAATTCGAAGCGTCAAGTGAAACGTCAAACAAAACTGATAAAAGGTGGTATTTCCATGATGTCAATTCCATCTCAATGCACTAATGTAAAAATAGTATTACACCCTTTCCTTAATCTCTTTTTTCAATGGACCACACTAATGTTTAAACTTAAAATATCAAATTATGTGTATTTTTTTATCTTCCTTTTTGTCGTGTAATATTTATAATCTCATCTGCGAAAACATAAAAAAGGACTTACCAGAGTTGTGTATCAAAGGCTGATGTTTTCTTAACATTTTAAGGAAATATATTTAAATAATATGTATATGTATATTAGATTAATATTTAGTGGAGAAATGTATTTTGATCTGAATTTTTAAAAAGTGGAAAAGGTGATATGAATATACTTTTAAATCAGGTCTCTTATTATAATACACGTGCTTATTAACAAGAGTCAAAAGATTTTAATATTTGTTATATAAACAAATTTTAAGGATTATTTAAAAAAAGTGTTAAAATAATTTATATAATAGTGATGCATTACTATTAATTGAAGATATGATATCTCAAAGATTTCATATTCGTTAATATTTGCTCTTCTATTTTCAATGCATACCTATTTGAAGTTTATAATAAGTAAAATTTGCACAGAATTTAAGAATTTCTAATAAGTCAGTGGAAAATATTTAGGGATTTTAAAATGAAGTATCCTGTGATCGAATGGAAGCGACGTCAAAATAGGGCGTAGAGCCGACATTTCTGTTTCAACTTTACTATACCTAACTCTGAAGTTCATCACTGAGTATCTCTTGTCTATTCTGAAGTTCTTAGACATTAACAGTGATAGATGTTCAATAGTTATTTGAAGTATTTGAAAAACATTAATTAACAATATAAAACAGGAGGAAATACAATTAACTACGATATGAAAAGAGGAAAATAGTTTACTGCAGCAGTGATAGATACGTATAGGAAAACTCCAGTTAAGCGTTTCTGCTAACTGTTACCATTTTCTTTCGAGCACATGATATAAAAACTATTTAAAGTAATATCTAAATTCTGTCCAACGAAATGATAGTAACAAATGTCTGTCATTTTAACTTCAGGTAAATTGTGATTTCTGTTATTTTTTGGATATGTCTAAATCTTCCCTGATTCTTTGCACAGACTATCGTAAGTACACCCAATGGAACTAATCAAAAGTAACGCTGATTTTTTATAAAAAATAACAGATATGAAATGGCATGAAAAGTATTAAAAAGAAACAAATTTTAAATATTTAATGTACAGTTTTGTTAGGGGTGTCACATGACATGTATATACAGTGTGTGATCGAAACGTCAAACTATAGTGTGTTTACTGCCTAATGTTGGCTTTGATATCTGTTAATAAGCCTATTAGAAAACTTAATGCGTATAATCTCTATTACTGATTAATAATAAGTTAGTAAGTAGTAGAAAATCAGCCAGAAAATAATATCAGTAATCCTAAAAATTTGAAATATGTATAGTGTGTTAAAGAAAACTTGACACATATAGGGAAAACACAATAAACTTGTTGCCCATAAGCATCGAACTTTCTCGAACACGCTGTATATGACTTGTGATTTAAAAATTTAAAGGATTTTTAGCGAATTTTAATAGGTAACGAATTACTTACAACCTTAAGATAAACAAACTCTCTTAAATCTGTATTACCATTATAACTAGCCATATACGGGGTGTCCAATATTAATTATACATAACAATAACTATCGATCTCGTTTTAGTACGAATATTACGCACTTTTATTAATAAATTATTTACACTGCCAAAATCAATACGATTCCGCATCGTGATAAAAACATTTATTAATCAGACACCCTGTATACATAGTAATAAGACTGAGTAACCATTTTTGTTTTGTTTTGAGCAGAGACTATATTATTGTCAAATGTTTATTTAATTTTAAACCTTACACAATCAAATTGTTTTTTTTTATTGATGGGAAAAATCGTATTATTTCAATAATCGCGAATTATCAGGTTTTGAGTGATTTTAAAAATAGGATTATAATTCGAATTCTAAATCACTCATATTATTATCAGTTCTCCAGAGTGCACTTGCAACGTCGCAAGGTCGTCATCCATAATTCATCACTCAGTTCTCATTATTCGAAATTCGACTAGCTTCTACGTCCCACTAGCCAACTCGCATAAACGATAATCGGTGGGATAATTCGCGTAGTGATGGGTTGTTATTTAACTATCTGTTATTTTATAACAATTATTTAGAAATAACATAACGCAACCGTTACTACTTCTAAAAAATAACAGATATAAAATAACGACACGTAGAGATCGACCGCTCGTTAAACAAAGTCGGCGCTCTGCACCACCACGAAATTCTATGCGGCTCGAAGCAATTCCAAAAAACAACTAGTATGGATGGAAAACATGTTATTTCGACAACCATCGATACAGGTGCAGGCGGAGAAATACAACGGACAACGGAGTGGGGAATGCGCTACGGCAAACGTAGCTGCATCGGTCGATGGTCGTGTTGGGCTTGCAACGACTTAAAAATAATAGGATATAAAAGAAGCAGCTTTTTTGAAACAGTTGCGGGCATAACGCCTGGCGGGCGAGATAACAGGAGTGGGAAAGTAACGCTGCTGCATCGGTCGATTGTCGATGGAGGCTCGCAACGGATTGGAGAATAACGTATAGAAAATAAGCAATCATTTTAGATACGTTGTTTTTTAACCTGTTACGAGCATAACTGGCGGCGGCGGCGGTCGAGATAATCGGAGTGGGAAAGTAACGCTGCTTCATCAGTCGATTGTCGATGGAGGTTCGAAACAGGTGGAGAACACATGTTCACATGCTGTCACAACCTGTTACAAGCATAACGGGCAGAAGTCGAGATATTATGGCGCTATATGTTTCAGTACTTAGTTATTAAGTTTCAGTTAGTTAGTTGTTTTTATTAATAACTTTAAATATATACTTTCATTGTTTTTGCTACATTTTAAAACTCTCCAAAGACAATTTTACTAACATTTACTTTAAGAAATTGTGAATGGTGCTTAGAAATTTAGTGATTAATTTATTTATTATAATAATGAGAAGTACCTTATACAGCGGTTTTCAAAATATAATTTTCGAATACAAACCAAAAAAGTCCATAAAAAAAAATATTATTTCTTATAATAAATAATTGTTTTTTATGTATATTTTTACATAATATTGTATATTATTTTGTAGCCCATTAAATAAATTATAATATCAGTTGAGTATTTATGAAATTAGATTGTTAGAAAAATTATGGGGGCGCAACAATTTTTTTTTAAAATTAAGGGGGGCAGGTACAAAAAGGTTGGAAACTAATTTAATTAATTATTTAGTAATATGTATATTTTTTTAAAGAAATGCTTTAGAAAAAAGAGTTTTGAGTTTTTCTAAATTTTCCCAGTCTTAAATTATTACAATAGTTGAAGGTTGTAAAGTAATAGTTTTGTATTTTTCACCACTGTCTAAGACTCTTACTGTTATAGATGGTAATAAGAATAAAAACACTACGTTAAGAAAAGACTGTTTAAAAGGTAGCAAACACATTGAGTATAATATTAATTTTAAATAATGTATATTTGTTGGTTTTGCTACGATTTAAAGCTCTTCAAAAAACAAATCTGCTATTCAGAGATTATGATACAACAAACAATGGATACTAAAAATACACTAAATAAAGATATTACTTTTCAACTACTAAAACAAGTATAAAGGCTAAATTATACAGACTTCAAATTATAATTATTTGGAATCGCACTAAGAAAAATTAATCTCTTGAAATACTATAATTAGATATTACCCTTGTTTGTCCCCGGATTGTCTTTATAAGAGGAAATAAAGAAACCTGTTATTTTTAAACTGTTATTTTAAGCTCTTTTTATAAATAACTGTAACAGTTTCAACTGTTATCTAAAAATAACAGTTTTGCCCACCACTAAATTCGCGTGCAATCTAAACAACAAAAAAAGCGACGGCCTTACCAATGGATCCACAGCTGCTCTTGCAAAATTGGCTATAGCTAGGCATTACTTTCCGCCGATCTTAAAACCGTTCATAGAATAATATGACAGCAAACGGCAATATTGTTGGGTATGCGAGTTGACTAGTGGGACGTAGAAGCTTTTGTCGTCATAGCCTCTGTACTTAAATTAAATTAAAACAGGTTAAACAAACACTCAAATTATTAATAGAGAATCGGGTTGTTTGTCTCTCTCTCTCAGTCTCTATTAGTTTCTCGATAACGATAAAGAAAGAGATTACCGAACAATCCCGCCGAAACATCGACTACTCGTATTGGTGTGTCATCGCAAACGATGCGATTATATTTTTCTATCATTCATTAAAAAAATTTGAATTATTATTTTTCGATAATCGGATATGCTGACGATTATTTTCATAATCGAATTATGAATGATTTTTAATTTGAATTATCCCATCACAATTTTTCTTTCAATTAAAGTTCCAATTATATTTATCATGAGAAAATGAAATAGACTAAAAAGTGTGTGGAAAAATATCAAAAACTTTCTATAGAGTAATAAGATTCTTTGATGATGTAGGGTTTTTACAATACCAGTATGATTGTATTGTATTGTATTTATTTAGTATTGGTCTAAACCAATCGTCATGACAAATGAAAGATTTATTTTTATCTACATTATATGTTAGGGTATCAGAAAAAAATTGTAATGAAAAATGAAATAACTTACATTGAAAAATTTTGCAGTTATCAAATTATGTGTTGATAAATCAGAAATATGTTTTATGGCCAAACTAAAACTTAATCCTAATATTTTCATTGATGATATCTAGGGGGGGTGGCGAGCCGTGGCTCCAGTAGTAGTGTGTCGACTGCTGTGCGAGAGATACTACGTTCGATCCCCAATCAGTACAGTCGCTTTATTTATTTAAATAAAAATATTTATTTTTCTAAATAGAGCGATCAGCGAGCCACCACCTCGGACCAGGAAGGCAATGGCAATTGAGTATGTTTGCCTTGTACAGCCTCTCAAATAGTACGTTCCGATTTGGCGATAAACTGTAGGTCCGTGTACTTGTGAAACACTGATGACTGATGACACACATCGCAAGTACATGTGAGAGGTAGCCTACGCTCTGTATAGGGTATGGCACTGTAAGAAGATCTCTAGCCAACAGTATAGCTCATTCATTTTTTTAATAACCTTACAAGAAATGCAAAATCATCAATTGTTTTTATTACAAATGACATTCTTTTACTTTACGAATAGGTACCCTATAATGCATGTTAATAATCTAATTTACAACAGCTGCTTTCTGTTTAAATAAACTGGATGAATATATGATTACATCTTTATGTTCTATTTATATGAATTGAAGGATTTTTCAATTGGGTACTTATTACTCAATACGAATTGTCATAATTGATGTTATTTTGGAATTAATTTCTTTTTGAACAATTTAAAAGAGTTGCTAACTAAACAGAAAGTAGCTAATATACCATGCAAAAAATTAACTGTGCTATTAAAAAAAAAGAGAGAATAAATATAAATATTAACTATTGTTCGACCATTATTATCTATTATAATATACAGAATGTTAAATGCAACCTAGTCAAATGTACATATTATTACATAATATAATAAAGTTTTATTATTGTACAGATGTTATATTATGTACGCACATTGTTTTTGTATTTTTTTTCTTCTCTTAGTATATATAACAATTTTTATATAGAATTTTTGTAATTTTATATTTGTCTTTTGTGATAACGTTTTTTAATTTGGATTTTAGAGCGCATTTAACGAGCAACGTTTCGAAAGCTGTTCACCTACCAAAGATAAATAAGTAACTGTTATAAGTAATAGAAGGAAATGTTACTTTGAGATGCGCTATTTCGAAATATTATATTTTTCTGTATACATATGCTTTTAAGGATTAATTTTTAATTTTATAAAGTGCTTATTTAATTTATGATTGTCTTGTGTCGATATATTTATATGATACATTATATATAAAGAATCAAAAAGTTAGCGTTTTATTTATATTGAAACCGGTTCACATTATGGAGGGTCTGAGGTAGAGGTCCTCTACCTCCATAATTCACATGCAACATAGGTATTTTTAATACTGTACGCAATTTTCAAACTAATTATAATTATATAAATCATATACAGCTATATGCCTACTGATAACTAGGTATTTATATTAAAATAGAAAACAAATTTCTTGCAGTATAGGCACAGATTATAATCTTTGTTTTTTCTTTATTGTTTTTCGTGGTTCCAATTTTCGGAATCAGGCACTAGTTAGGTGACTAGTTTGCGCACATAGCCCGCCCACTTATGGCCTCTAAAATTGCGCACAGCGCCTGACCGGCACAGTTATTAGAGAGATATCGGAAAACCGAATAGCGTCATGCAGTATTTACGCATACCTTATCATGGTTACGATATGCGCGAGTCAATTTTTAACGCAACGCCCGCTAATAATGTTACCGCCTGACGTAATTTGCGGATCAATTACACCAAGCGCTCTTTCTAAATAACCTCTGATAACGTTTAAAAATTGCTTAAATGGGCATGTGCGGGTATTTGACAACCGGAGCCGGCCGGCGAGATCTTTTATTTTAGGTTATGTTTGAATTGTTTTGAATTATTGCTTTAGTTTTATTAGGTAATGTGATATTTAAGTAGCTGGGATTAGTTTTAATTAAATAAATATGGCCCAAAATATGGATTCCACCTCTTCCAATACTAAAGAACCTATAAAGAGTCTTAGGTTTACAGCAGATGACGATTTAGCCCTTCTAATAGAATTTGTTGCTTGTTGCCTTAAACCCATTGACAGACGTTGAACAATAAAGCACTGGAAATAAGCACTTTAGCCCTTTTGTTTTAAAATACCTAGTAAACAAAACAATTTCAATGTTTTAAATTCAAATTTAGGTTAAGTTTAAATAGCGGACGCGATGCGATCAGAATTCTTTCCGATCCGATAACGCCGATAACTATAAATGAAGAGAGTTAATACCACCTCACGTAAAGGAAATAACACCTGGCCTTATTAACGTCCATGCACTACCGCGTCTACCGCCAAAATTCACGGTAGACTTGATAAGCAAGGACAGAAAGACAGTCAAAGCTGTAGTAGGTCTACTAACAGGGCTAAATAGGCATCTAAAGCTGATGGGATTGACAGACGAAGCTATGTGTAGGTTCTGCCAATCTGAAGAAGAAACGTCAGAACACATTTTATGTCGGTGTGACAGCCTGGCAAATATGCGGTTGCCGGTAATAGGCAATGATAGGCCATTGCCAAGGAGCTACATGGAGGGTTCAGTCTCCAAGTTGCTAAACTTTGTGAAAAGGATAGGACTGGAGAATGTAATCTAAGGATCAGAAGAGGACCACAATAGATCTGAGAAGGTCGCAGTGGACCAGGCCGAAAACCACCTCTAAGAATCTAATCTAATCTCTAACGTCCATGCACGCTATTCGGTTTAGCGATATCTCTCTATTACGCTGTTTATTGTTATTTTACGCGAGTTTATTTTTGCGCACAGGAAATTTAACTGGTTTGCACATCGTCATAAAAAACAATTTTCGTACCACGAATTAGGGACAAGATTTTTATCTGTATACTTATAGGATACCTAATCTGTGGTATAGGTATATAATAAAATTATATAAGGATTCTTGCCACTTAACTGCTGATATAGAAATTTAATTCTACGCTGTGTTTGTCATAATGTGGATCAACCTGCTCTCACTACCGGTTTCGGAACCCTACTCCATCATCAGGTGAGCTTGGGCAGATTCACAAAATGACAACCACAGCGCAGAGATAGTTAATTCCGACTTGTCGGAAAGTGTCGGTTAGATATTAAGTCCCGAACGGGAGATAGCGGCCTGCGTGCAATGGTAGTACTTTCGTACCACCGAGGCGCAACTATCGATAGTAAAAGGATGGTAAAAGGCTTTTTTTCAGGCGAGCCAAATTATAAAATAGAAAACAAATTTCTTGCAGTATAGGTATATAATAAAATTATATAAGGATTCTTGCCACTTAACTGCTGATATAGAAATTTAATTCTACGCTGTTTGTCATAATGTGGATCAACCTGCTCTCACTACCGGTTTGCTACCGGTTTCGGAGCCCTACTCGATCATTAGGTGAGCTTGGGCGGATCCACAAGATGACAACCACAGCGCAGAGATAGTTAATTCCGACTTGTTGGAAAGTGTCGGTTAGATATTAAGTCCCGAACGGATTAATGCAAAATATAGAGTATGTAAATCATAGTTTTGGTAATGATTTTTCTTTTTGTGAGCTAGAAACTGCGCTTAATCGAAAACGTAAAGATACTGCCCCAGGGCTGGATTGTGTCTCATTTTCTATGATTAGATACGCTCCTCTAAATTATAAAAAATATATATATATATATATATATATATATATATATATATATATATATATATATATATATATATATATATATATATATATATATATATATATATATATATTAGGTTTGTACAATAAAATTCTTAAAGGTTTAGAAGAGGTTCCAATTAGCTGGAAGACAGGTGTGGTCTGTCCTATCCCAAAACCAAACAAGTATGGAGAGAGCCTTTCGTCATATCGTCCCATTACACTTATGTCGTGTGTTGGGAAATTGATGGGGGATATGGTTAAGACAAGAATAGAATGGAAACTTGAACATAAACAGATTCTAAATAAACTACAGTTTGGATTTAGAAAGGGTAAAGGTATTAATGATAGTCTGACGATCCTATCTTCTATTGTTGGTAATGGGTTTTCTCAAGGAATTAAAACTATGATAGGGTTTTTAGACATGAAGGGCGCATACGATCATGTGAACGTGGATGTTCTCATGACCAAATTTATTGAGTTAGGTATACATCAGGATATTTGCATGTACATTAAAAATATACTTAGTAACAGAAGAATTTATGTCAATGATTTTCAGAAAAATCGGTTAGTAGGTCCAGGTTTTACAAATAAAGGATTAGCACAGGGTTTCCCTTTAGCGCCGTTATTATTTAATGTATATATAAATAATTTAAAAGATTTTATAAGTGATGGTGTGATTATGCTACAGTATGCTGATGGCATAGTATTGGCTATACAGGGCCATAATTTGAACATGATGGCAGATAAAATGAATGAGACCCTTGCTAACTTGGAAACGTGGTTACAAGAGACTGAAATATCTTTTTCACCTCTTAAGTCAGCATGTATGTTGTTTCAAAATAAAGCTGAAAATGGGATTCCAGTTGTAAGATTACATGATGTTATTATTCCATGGGTGGAGAAATTTAAATATTTGGGTGTAATTTTTGATAAAGGATATACCTGGAAAAATCAAGTTGAAATGATGTGTGCTAAAGCAATCAAGGGTACCAATGTAATGAAGTTTTTTGCAAAAACCTGGTGGGGCAGTCATCCCTTGTTGTTATACATCTTGGTGTTATTACATCCATCACTATGTTGAGCTTCTATAAGGCATATGTAAGATCGCTCTTGGACTTTGGTGGCATTATTTTGTACAAATGTCCTAAAACTTCACTTAATAAGTTGGACAAAGTGCAGTATCAAGCGCTCATATTATGCTTAGGTATGATACAAGGGTATGATGAAATCAAGTCCCATTAATGTTCTACTTTCGGAAGCAGCAGAATTCCCGTTGGATATTAGAAGATATATGCTGCCAACTAGATTTTTATTAAAGGCTTTTTATATACGTGATAATCCAGTTATTGAATACGAGACAAATGCATACACGGTATATAATCAGTATCATAATTTATGGAGAAAATTTCCAATTCCTCCACTCATTGAAGCAATAGATCCTATATTTCCTCTAGTGCAACATACTGAAGTGAGTGATGTTTCGCCTATATTTAATTTGCCCCTTTTTTTAATAAATTTACGTTTTATAAATCTAATCTGAACAAGAACGAACATAATAATTTGGAATTTAATGGTCTTATTAATGAAAAATATCCAGATAAGAACAAAGTATTTACTGATGCATCTAAACAAAAACAAAGTTGCACAGGAGTAGGGATTCATTGTCCTGATTTAAAAACGGAAGCGACATATCATCACCCTAGAATAAGATTGTTCTATAGATCATTTCGATGAAACTGAGAAAACAAGGTTTAAAGTTTAAACTGGATATCCGTGAACACTATATACCAAAATGGTTCTATTAAACATATAAATTAAAGATAATATAAAAACCTATCAAACATATGTATTTATTTTACTTTTAGAAGCTTTATTTAAAAGATATTAGTGATTTTAGATTTGGATATAGAACAAATGTGTCTATTAGCTGTGCATTGAGCCGATTTTAGGGATATAGAACAAAATAAGGACATATAGAATAATATAATACTCATTATTTTTTGAGTGATGATTTATTTGTATTTCAAAATATTATTTCAACACAAAATAATTGAAGTGGAAACATTAAGACATTAACTAAAAACAACATAAAAAAATAATAACCTAAAATACAATAGTAGTAATTATTCGTTTGCATTGTTTATTAAAAACTATCATTTTTTCCGCCTATTTGTTTGGTATGTATAGTGTTAGAATAAGTTATTCAGATTTTAAATCTGATTTTTAACTTTCATTGGATTATTTAAATGTTTTTTCAGCTATCTCTAGTATTGATAGTATTAGAGAACGATTGAGCAGTCAATTGAGTTGAAGCAGCTGGTTTCACAAAATTCCAAAGTGTGAAACATTCGAATTTGCTAACAAATCAGGCAATCAGTGCTTTTCAAACGAACGATTAAGCAGTCAATTGCGTTGAAGCAGTTGGTTTCACGAAATTCAAAAGTGTGAAACATTCGAATTTGCTAACAAATCAGGCAATCAGTGCTTTTCAAACGAACGATTAAGCAGTCAATTGAGTTGAAGCAGCTGGTTTCACGAAATTGCAAAGAGTGAAACATTCGAATTTGCTAACAAATCAGGCAATCAGTGCTTTTCAAACGAACCGATTTACCGCCTATTTGACAAACGAACGTTTAGTGGTGCAATTTCAACCGCTTAGAACAAAAGCCTTAAATTTAAATAAAAACAGAACATACATTGTATGTATCTGTGAGAAAGAGATCGAGAATAAATGGATATAGAACAATCTAATTTTTATGCATAGTAACATATTTTTTGATCTGGTATTTTCGTTCCATATCCACTTCTTAGGATAAAGAACACAATAATTCTATTTTTTTTACTGTAGCCTTAAATAGTGATTTTTGGATGTAGGCCATTATATGGTTTCGCGACTTTCAAATTAATATGGATATAGTACAAAATATTAGATTTTTTTTCTTTATTTGTGAATTTGTCTATATTGTTTTTGTGGATATAGAACAAGCTAGTTCTGCATAAAAAAATGGTGTATGTAACTTATTTTACCCCAAAAGTGGATATAGAACAACCTAATTCTAGGGTGGCGATATAATGTTTCTAGTCTAGCTACTATTTTTTCGGGTGAATGTTTTGCAATTTTAAAAGCATAAGAATTAATTGAGATTCATATTATTAGGGAATCTGTTATTTTTTCGGACAGTCTTAGTGGTCTTCAAGCAATTTGTAGCAGGCCTACGTTTAAGGATAGCCAATTAGTGTTAAATATTAAATATAAACTAAAAATGCTAACTGATCTGGGTTGTAATGTATCGCTTGTATGGATTCCAAGCCATACAGGAATTAAAGAGAATGATAGAGCTGATTTTCTCGCTAATTTAGGAAGAGAAAATGGTAGAAGAATTGAAATGAAATGTTGGCATAATGAATTATTTAATGTTATTAAAGAGCAATTTTTTCCATTGTTGGAAAGAAAGATGGAAGGAAATTTCTGTGATAAAAGGGACTATTTATGCAAGTATTGTTCAAACTCCGTATAGAATAGCATGGTTCAAGAAGTATAAAGGGTATTCTAGGAAGAAGATAACTACATTTATTAGATTGGGAAGTGGTCATTGTTGTATCCCAGTGCATCTTAATAGAATAGGAGTAAGAGACTATATTTTAATAACCTCGGTAAGAGGCGACCCTCTTTGTACATGTGAACATGTGGCGAGCTTGGAACACTAAACCATATTTTGTTTTAAATTTGAATGCAACAACTTTGAGGAATTTTCTTGTCAATTTTATAGTGACTTAATTACACATTATGGCTATGGGCCACAAAATTTTATTTCGGCTTTGCATGATCTTAAGTTAGCTGTTAAGTCTGAGTTAAGTCTGCTTTAATTGATTGTATATACAAATTTGAGGATGGTAGTGGATTGAAGTTGTAGTTTTCGTATTTTTATTTTGGTTTGGCGATTGTATTAATCCATTCTAGGTTCTATTGTGATTGAATTGTGATATTTACATTCATTCTAGGCAATGACTAAAGAATACAATATTCTTTAGTCATTGATTCTAGGTGATATTGTGATTTCGTCATCAAATCAGGGTATGGGACTCACCCAGACTCGCTAATAGCGAACCCTGGTTGTTAATAATCTAAATACAAAAGTATAGGATTGAATAACCTATTAAATAGCCGAATAACCCTGGCAGCTCAGGCCGTTAAACTAAAATACTACTATAACCAGAACATGACCCCGCTCGAGATTGAAGAAGGTCGGAAGGTTGCGTGTTCTGAAATTCTGATTTTCCTTTATCTGAGAGATCCCGATTCATTGGACATAAATCCCCCTTCTCGAATCAGCCCTGGGGCGCTATTCCGTAAGTTACGACAGCTCTCGATACGTATTTGTATATAGTAAAAATGTGTTAATTGTTGTTGTCATAGCTACCGATCGGTCCTATGGCAGATATCGCAAATTTGTACCGACGAAAATCGGTATCTCTACCGTGCCCTTGTCAACCTCACGGTAGAGATACCGAGAGTCGTCGGTACAAAGTTGCGATATCTGTCATAGGGCCGATCGGTAACTATGACAACAACAATCAACACATGTTTACTATATACAAATACGTACCGATAGCTGTCGGTAACTTACCGATACCGACGATTATACAGAATAGCGCCCCTGGTGAGTCCTTTCCAATAATTTCGATCATATTTTGATTAATTAGAAAATTCTAACCATACTTCTAAACTTTCACGTGCTTTGAGTGGCACTCTTTTCATGTTAAGCGGGACGGGAGGGCCCTCAGGGGACCCTCCAACCCATCACGATTACGCCCCTAAACTAAACTGTAAATTGACGGAGAGAAGCCTTATGCTGAAGGAAATTCTTAATAAGAATCCAATTACGAATACTCCATCGATTGAAGAGATCCAAAGATATGAGGAAGAACTATACGAAATCAGACATCAAAATGAAGAAAACCCAGAAATAATATCCGAAATATCCCAAAGTTTTTTTCAATATAAGAAGAATTTACAATAATGTAACAGAATATGACATCACGGCATTTCAGCCATTCTTAATCATTATAAAAAGTAACCTAAATATCCATCCCATGAGCGTAGGCAAACTTCTCTATGGAAACAACATAGAAGGTGTACAAAAAGTAGAAGCAAAAGGAAGAGCAAGGGTGGGAGTTTATTTTCAAACACCTGACCAAGCTAATCAATTTAAGAAAACAAAGTACTTAACTAATAGGAAATGGGAAAGATACATACCTCCTCGTATGATAACCTGCAGAGGAGTTATCCACAACATGTCCAGCGATATCTTCGAGGAAGACATTATAAATCACGGAGTTTTTACGCAACAAAAATACGAATAATTAATGCAAGAAGAATATACAAAACAGTAAGAACTAGTGGCGTGATACAGAAAGAGACAACAAACTCGTTCAAAGTTACATTTAAAGGCAACCAACTTCCTGTGGAATTTACATTATATAGAGTGTTAAGAGACGCCCTTCCATATAAAAACCCAGTAGTGATATGCCGGAATTGTTTCAAATTTGGGCATAGAGCCTCTCAATGCAGAAACACAACAAAATGCATCAATTGCGGCGAGCCCCATGAAGCGGAGAACTGCGCCATGAGGGACACTCAAATATTATGCATCAATTGCAAGGATCAGCACGTACCAACCAGTAGGGAATATAGAGAGTTTAAAAGACAGCACGAAATTGCAGACATAATGGCCAAACACAATATATCATATTTCGAGGCCAACAAATTATTCCCCAGAAACAATGGCGTAGAGTTGAACTTGAACCAACATTTCCCAGATACTCTAAGAACTGAAGTACCCAGATCGACCAGAAAACATGAAATTATATCTGTTCCAAAAAGAACTAGACCTCGTTCCCCCCCTTCCCAAAAACATAAAAGACCATCTTACAAGGATATTTTATTTCCAGATTCTGCTAGAACTAGCACCACTCCCATTTCAAACGAACAAGTAGTAATAGGTTCACAAGCTGACAACCTTCCTGAATTTAGATGGAATGAAAACATGGAAATACTGAACGAAATTAGCATAATGGAAG